GAGCGAGAAACAAGCTGTTTGAGGCGTGGGAGGAACAGAAGAAGAGAGAGGGAGAGAGGGAGCGAGGGACAGAGGGAGGGAGAGAGAGAGAGAGAGAGATGGAGAGAGGAGTTTAACGCACATTACATCAGAGAGAAGGAGGGGGGAAGAGACACCGAGGTATTGACTGCAGGGAGGACGAGGACGCATGGGAATCAGAGAGAGAGACACAAGCAGAAGAAAGAGAGAGAGAAAGAGGGAGAGAGAGAGAGAGAGAGAACATGAGGTCAAAACTCTGCAGTGTTTGATGCGTTAAACATAATTTCGTTTTTCCTGTAACAATAAATCCTGAAAAAAATGGCGAGATAGAGAGAGAGGGATGAAGAGAGAAAGAAAAGAAGAGCGTGGAGAGATGGAGGATGGATGGCTGGATGGAGAGAGAGAGAAAAAGAGAGAGAGAGAGAGAGCTGTTGTGAGGACAGTGTCATGTTGTTGTTTATCTCTGAGCTGAGACTCAAACTGCTCTGACTCAGTCCTCACCTCCTCTCTCTCTCTCTCTCTCTCTCTCTGTCACTCTCTTTATCTCTGTGTCACTCTCTCCCTGTGTGTCTCTCTTTGTCTGTCTGTCTGTCTCTTTCTTTCTGTCTCTCTTCTCTTTTTGTCTCTTTGTCTGTCTCTCTCTAGCTGTCTGTCTGTTTCTCTTTTACTGTCTTTCTGTCTCTGTGTGTCTCTCTTTCTCTTTCTATCTGTCTGTCTGCCTGTTTCTCTCTTCGTCTGTTTCTCTCTGTCTGTCTCTCTCTATCTTTGTCTGTGTGTGTCTCTCTCCCTCTTCGTCTCTCTCTCTCTGTCTGCTTCCCTCTGTCTGTTTGTTTCTCTCTTTGTCTGTCTCTCTGTTTCTCTCTGTCTGTCTGTTTCTCTCTCTATCTCTCTCTGTCTATGTGTCTCTCTTTCTGTCTCTCTCTCTCTCTGTCTCTCAGTTTTTCTTTGTCTGTCTGTCTGCCTGTCTCTCTCTCTCTGTCTGTCTCCCTGTCTGTTTCTCTCTTCATCTCTCTGTCTGTCTGTCGCTGTGTTTCTCTCTTCATCCCTTTGTCTCTCCGTCTGTCTCTCGCTCTCTTCATCTCTCTGTCTGTCTCTCTTCATCTCTGTCTCTGTTTCTCTCTTCATCTCTCTGTCTCTCTCTCTTCATCTGTCTGTCTGTCTGTCTCTCTGTTTCTCTCTTCATCTCTCTGTCTCTCTCTTCATCTGTCCGTCTGTCTGTCTGTCTCTCTCTCTTCATCTCTCTGTCTGTCTCTCTGTTTCTCTCTCTTCATCTCGCTCTCTCTCTGTGTCTGTCTGTCTCTTCGTCTGTGTGTGTGTGTGTGTGTGTGTGTGTGTGTGTGTGTGTGTATGTGTGTGTGTGTGTGTGTGTCAGAAGTGTGTGAAGTGCAGAGCCTGTGGCACACTCCTGGATTCTAACACAGAACACAGTCTCCTGATAAAAAAAAAAAAAAAGAAAAACACTCACCTTGGCTGGAGGGAACATGGCTCAGATCCTGCTGTAGTCCTGCTCTAGTCCTGGTTTAGTCCTGGTTTAGACCCAGTATAGTCTTGGATCAGTCTTGGTTCAGTTCCAGGTCCAGTATAGTCCAGGTTTAGACTCTGATTCAGTCTTAGTTGAGCCCGATGTTAGATCCCGTCTCAGTCCTGGTTTAGATCTCACTTCAGATCTGATTTAGATCTGGTTTAGTCCTGGTTTAGTCCTGGTTTAGTCCTGGTTTAGTCCTGGTTCAGTCCTGGTTCGGTCCTGGTTTAGTGTTGGTTTAGTCCTGGTATAGACCTTGATTCATTTCTGGTTGGGTCCTGGTTTAGTCCTGTTTGGGTCCTGGTTTGGTCCTGATTTGGTCCAGGTTCAGTCCTGGTTTAGATCTGGTTTAGTCTCGGTCCCATATGTCGTCCCTCTGTCCGCTCTGGGGGTGGATCACGTGACCAGGTCTGGAGCTAGTCCCGGATCACAGCCGCAGGACCAGACCAGAACTGGACCAGGACCAAACCAAACCAGGCCAAAAGATGTGTGTCATAAAGCGGACCACAGGGGGCGCTGTGGAAAAAAGAGGTCAGAGAACAGCACCACTCACCTGTGGAAGAATCATTGATTATTTATGAGACTTTAATGACCTGATGTGAACCCAGACTAAACCAGAACTAAACCTGGACTAAACCAGGACTAAACCAGGACTAAACCTGGACTAAACCTGGACTAAACCTGGACTAAACCAGGACTAAAGCAGGACTAAACCAGGACTAAACCAGGACTAAAGCAGGACTAAACCTGGACTGAACCAGGACTAAACCAGGACTAAACCAGGACTAAACCTGGACTAAAAGCAGGACTAAACCAGGACTAAACCTGGACTGAACCTGGACTGAACCAGGACTAAACCAGGACTAAACCAGGACTAAACCTGGACTAAAAGCAGGACTAAACCAGGACTAAACTAGGACTAAACCAGGACAAAAAGCAGGACTAAACCTGGACTAAACCTGGACTGAACCAGGACTGAACCTGGACTGAACCTGGACTAAACCTGGACTAAAAGCAGGACTAAACCAGGACTAAACCAGGACTAAACCAGGACTAAAGCAGGACTAAAGCAGGACTAAAGCAGGACTAAACCTGGACTGAACGAGGACTAAAGCAGGACTAAAGCAGGACTAAAGCAGGACTAAAGCAGGACAAAACCAGGACAAAAAGCAGGACTAAACTTGGACTAAACCTAGACTGAACCAGGACTGAACCAGAACTAAACAAGGACTAAACCAGGACTAAACCTGGACTAAAAGCAGGACTAAAAGCAGGACTAAACCAGGACTAAACCAGGACTAAACAAGGACTAAACCTGGACTAAAGCAGGACTAAACCAGGACTAAACCAGGACTAAACCAGGACTAAAGCAGGACTAAAACAGGACTAAACCAGGACTAAATCAGAAAAAGGAAAAAAAAGGCATGTTTTTAAAGGTATTTCTGAACAATAAAATCACATGTAATTGAATAAATGTGCTCTGGATATGTTTAATGCCACTGTGGAACATTCCAGACACTACAATAAAATCTCCATGGAGACAGTAAAGCTGGTCACATTATATATTAGACAGTGTGAAGGGTTTTAAAATGATGAACAATCTTGAAATATAAACATGTAAATACTTTTAAACATATTAGAAACAGTAGAGTCTCGTCTTAAAACAATAATTTAACTTTATTCACAAATAAAGTCCAAAAAAAGATCACAACAAAAAATAGTTTTATAAAAGAAGTGCTGTTTCTTTATGAATTTCTCCTCTCAGTCCACACGCTTTTAAATACACTTTCATCATAAAATATCTGTTATCTTCTTTTGGTTTTGTAACATTTGTGAAATCTGGTGTTTTGAATCTCGAGTGTTCAGGAAATGTCTGTTTTCACCACCTATCCCCGCCCACTGCTCGGTTTTTACTCACGTTTCTTGAAGCGATTTAAGACTTGTCGTTTATCTGCTTTTGAACAGAAGATAATGGACCCGTTTCTATTATGAATTTGTTTTAAAAAAATATTACAATTGACCGAAAACATAACGGTGATAATGAAAATCCAGTGTCATCTTTGAGGGAACTGTTATGTAAGATTTAGATTTTAAATGTCATAATCGTTACCAGTTCTGAGATAAAAATGTTCAAATCAAGAATAGCTTTTACTGATAACAAATGTCATGCTGATTTATTCTTAATGACAAAAACGTTGGACATGATGGTCAAGTTTGTTAATCTTATAATTTGGCGTTTTGGTTCAAGACGTTTATCCAATCAGAAAGCAGAATGAGCCTCACATGATTCTCTCATTTGGGTTGCCAGGTTCAATGCTGAAATCCAGTGTGTTTAAAACTAAAATGTCTGTCTCTGATCTGAACAGTGACTCCCTGAAGTCCAGCACCTGCAGCATCACGAGTCAGTGCTAGTGCAGCCTCTGCAGCTCTGTGAAGGAAATCTGGAGGTTGTGAGCTTCACATGAGGCCTGGTCTGTCCATGAGGGATGCAACGATATGGTTTTCCCACGATTTGATACGCATCTCGATACACAATATTGAGTTTTAGTTTTAAGACGCAAAAAAAAAAAAAAAAAAATTTTTTTTTTCTAGCCTGATTCATCAGCCAGTTTCACTTCGTAGCATTAGGATTCGTTCGCTCAATGGTAGGTTTAACCAGTCACTGCTTTAGTTGTGACATATGTAATGCACTAAATCCTGTAGGAAGAAGGACAATAACGTCTTTCCCCTTGATAAAATTCACCAAACATTCTCTTTGTTCTGGCTTTAAATCCTCGATCTCAGGAATCGTTGCCAACACAGAATATATGACTCTTCGCTGATTGGCTGGTGCTCGAACTCACACTTCTGGGGGTCTTCCAAATTGTCTAGTGTATTCTGATTCCTGACTAAGGCTGCGTTCAGACTGCAGCCTGAAGTGACCCAAATCCGACTTTTTGGCCTCTATGCTCCTGTAGCTGATCTTTTAATGACAGTCTGAACGACACAGATCCGATTTTTTCAAATGTGACCCAGGACACTTGGATATGTGCTCCTGAAACTGACACATATCTGATCTTTTGACATGTGACTTCAGTGTGAACGGTAAAAGCGCATTCATCCATTGACCTACACATTTATCAACAAGACACAAACGTCACTATTCTGCGCTGAAGTAGGCGAAAATTGTTAATGAACTCCGTGTCACTGAAGTGAAGCACATCACCACTCACCACTCTTGGCTCCGTCTCCACATCCACACGTTCCTTTAAACGGACGTTGCTGCCGCTGTCCCACAAAACACCACGGCCAAAAACCTCGTCCTTCTCCTTCTCAATCTCCTCCTTAAAACAAGTAAGTTGTTCATGTTCTGGCTCCGGTACGAGAGGAACTTTAAAATCTCCAGGTGCTCGATGCTGCGTCCATGTTTGGACAACTTCTGTAAACACAGAGCACGCTCGCTGTGGTTGACGTCATCGTGTCTCCAGTGCACATGTGGGACACTTTTGGGCCGTTTAATGTTCACACTGGAGACACATACAAGTCACATTTAATTGGAAATGTGAACGACCTCACAAAAACATCGGATTTCACAAAAAAATCTGAATTCAGCATTAAGCCCTGCAGTCTGAACGTAGCCCTAGTCGCTCCTTTTTTTGATGATGATTTGATGATTTCTTTCTTTCCCTCCTGACTCCTCTCGCACGCCTCATGCCTGTGTCTGTGCTCCTCTGCGTAGTACGTAGCTCCTCCCACACTGCACCTTTCAGTAGAAACAGTACGTAGCTCCTCCCACACAGTCCCCTACAGTCTGTGCTCTCCCATCCTCACACACTTTAACCGTGTTAAATGTCTCAACAGACTGTTTTCTGAGTAAAACTTATTAGATAGAGTCTAAGAAAAAGATTGTGTATATCGTGAGTCGCGTCACAGGTGCGAATACGAATTGTAAAGCCAAACGTGATTCTAAACTATTTCAAAGTGAATATTTTTGTCATTCCTGGGTCTATCAATGTCAAATAAAAAGTGAGTGAAAGATCAAACCGTCCTCTGTTAGAATATTTCAGCTGTAAATCCCTGTGGAGCTGTTTTCTTGCTGCATCTGAGGAAGACGCTGTGATGATTTTGGTCCCAAAGGAAAAGAGTTAAAGACAACACAGCACAGAGTGACTCGTGCGTATTGACACACGCATCAAAGAACATGTGTATTGGATCGTAAGACCAGTATCGAAAGACTCGATATTATACTTAATATCGTTGCATCCCTACTGTCCATATACTGAGAATGAGACTAACTTGTGTGTGTGTCTGTCTGCAGTTTAAGGCTCTCGAGACACAGGTTCAGTCATTTTTTTGTTTTTTTTTTAAACTGTAAAACTGTCTAGATACAGTTCAATTAAATTACAAAAGAAACACAAAAAATCCAAATAAATTAAGGCCAGAATAAAGCACAATATAGGAACTTTCTCTCAACCTTCATTGGGTCCACCACTTACAGAATCAACTTTTTCTTTTCTTTGCGTCTTTGTGTGAGTGGTGCAGTGAGCGCAGTGTCCAGCAGTGTCCAGCAGAGGTCACTGTTTGTTCTTGTACTTCCTCATGTGCGACGCGATGGAGCTGCTGATCTCTGGCTCTTCGTTTGTTTTGGCCGTAATACTCCACAAACTGTCCATCAGGTCCAACCAGATACATGATGATGGTGTGGTCCACCTGAAGTGAGCAGACGGAGACAGAAGAACAACAAACTGTAGTTTAATCTGAGCTGGACAAAGGTCAGAACTTTGTGGTGGAGTTTGCTGTCAGATGAAGATTTGTTGACCTGGTTCATATTTCTGCACTTATCCACATCAAACTTGTTATTAGATTTGTAGTTTTTTTGGTTTTTTTTTTTTTATATTGTTGTGGTGTAAAGGTGCACTCACTATGTAGTCGTTGTCTTCGTCTTTGGGGCCCTGGCTGTAGTAAACTCTGTACGAGCGGGACACCTGCTCCACCTGAGCCACAGAGCCAGTCAGACCCACCAGCTTCGGAGAGAACTCTGATACAGACAGAAGAACAAACGTGTGAAATGTTAAGATCATTTAACACTGGGCTCCACCTGTCTGTCTGGAGTCTGGAGGAGTCTGGAGGAGTCTGGAGGAGTCTGGAGGAGTCTGGAGGAGTCTGGAGTGAGGAGGAGTCTGGAGTCTGGAGGAGTCTGGAGGAGTCTGGAGGAAGAGTCTGGAGGAAGAGTCTGAGGAAGGAGTCTGGAGGAGTCTGGAGGAGTCTGGAGGAGTCTGGAGGAGTCTGGAGGAGTCTGGAGGAGTGAGGAAGAGTCTGGAGGAGTCTGAGGAAGGAGTCTGGAGGAGTCTGGAGGAGTCTGGAGGAGTCTGGAGGAGTCTGAGGAAGAGTCTGGAGGAGTCTGGAGGAGTCTGGAGGAGTCTGAGGAAGAGTCTGGAGGAGTCTGGAGGAGTCTGAGGAAGAGTCTGGAGGAGTCTGGAGGAGTCTGGAGGAGTCTGGAGGAAGAGTCTGGAGGAGTCTGGAGTCTGAGGAGGAGTCTGAAAGAGTCTGGAGGAGTGAGGAAGAGTCTGGAGGAGTCTGGACTGAAGAGGAGTCTGGACTAGGTGTGTAATGATATCCAAGTCTCACAATACAATATCGTCACAGTATGAACCTCACAGTACGATATTTATTGTGATATTGGGGAAAAGTTCACGATATGGTGGGGAGGCTCATGATATTATGATATTCTACATAACAACAAGACTGACAATATAAAATGCTTGGTCATTTGGTACAACATTTATTGTCATTTTCATATCAGTGACATTCTGAACAGCTTGAAAAGCCTCTGAAGTTGAAGTGTAAATTCAACAATGTTTTAGTATGACTTTGGTAAACTATGAAGCTGCACCGCTTGATGGATTGTCTGAGTATTATGTCTGTCGTTGTCAGGAGAAGTCTGACAGAAGCTGAACTGCATCAGCGCATCAGGAGCGAACTGTTTTTTTCATAGCTTATGCAAATGAGCCATTTGGCTTTAAATTTAGTTTCTGTAAAACATAAACTAATGTGCGTAAAACTGCATTAAACACATTACTCACTGTATATTTGAGTCCTCCTTAAATGCGATGGCATTTTCTATATTTCGGCTTCAGTTTAGTCACTAATCTTTTAAACCCGACGCCGTCCACTGTGGAAAATGGATCAAATCGCTCACACTTTATATTCTGTGATGTATTTGGTTATTTCTTGAGCTGTTGTGAGGCAGTGCTGTTGTAATGCTTCACGTATAGTTTTTTGTCGGCTTGTCAAGTGACTTCTCATGTGGTAGTATTTCCCGAGGTGAAGTGCACGCTGCATTGTGTCTGCACACTGTCTGTTGTTTGTCTGTCACCTTTTCTTTCTTGTTTTCGCGTCACGACAAACCCAAAATACTTCTAGACCGCAGATTTAAAAGCCGCTGGTGCGTCCACAACGGGCACACTGGCCGATGACGTGGCCACAAAGGATTATGGTCCATGTAGTTTACCATTCTTATTTTTGCCTAAAGACACACAGTTTAATACCGTGACAAGACCGCGACGATATCGTGGCAATTTTACTACGACGATCTCATGATATGGCCAGTATCGTTACACCTCTAGTCTGGACTGAGGAGTCTGGAGTCTGGAGTCAGTACCTTTGACATAAGCGGCCATGGCCTCTGGAGTGTCTCTGTCCGGGTCGATGGTGATGAGGATCGGGGTGAGGTTTGGAAGAGAGCGGATTCCATCTGAAACAACAAACAAAAGAATGGGCCTAATTTATATTTTGCATGTAGATTTTGTTTTGTCTATATCACTATTATAACTCATTTATGATTTTAAACAATTTTAACTACAAATTACATTATGAACTTCTATTCCTGCATCGTGACCAGTGTTGGGAAGGTGACTTTTAAAATGTATTCCCCTACAGATTACAGATTACATACACCAAAATGTAGTTTGTAACATAATCCATTAAATTACTTAAAGTGAGTAACATAATCTGAATATTTTGGATTACTTGATTTGCTGTAGAGAAGCAAAGACGAGGATATTGTAACATCAGATGTTTTGTCTGACAAAAGAAAATAAAAAGCCCAGACTTTACTGAACCGTATTAAAAATATTATTGATAGAAGACGAGGAGACACGTCCACGCAGCATGATTTAGTCCTGTTAAATTCCTGTTTGAGACATAGTTTAGACCTGGTTTTAGTCCCGGTTTAGTCTCGGTTTAGTCCCGATTTAGATCTGGTTTTAGTCCTGGTTTAGTCCTGGTTTAGTCCTGGTTTAGTCCTGGTTTAGTCCTGGTTTAGTCCTGGTTTAGTCCTGGTTTTAGACCTGGTTTTAGACCTGGTTTTAGTCCTAGTTTAGTCCTAGTTTAGTCCTAGTTTAGACCTAGTTTAGTCCTGGTTTTAGACCTGGTTTAGACCTGGTTTTAGTCCTGGTTTTAGTCCTGGTTTAGACCTAGTTTAGACCTAGTTAGACCTAGTTTAGACCTAGTTTTAGACCTGGTTTAGACCTCGTTTAGACCTGGTTTGGACCTGGTTTTGGACCTGGTTTGGACCTGGTTTAGTCCTGGTTTTAGTCCTGGTTTTTAGTCCTAGTTTAGACTAGACCTAGTTTAGACCTAGTTTTAGTCCTGGTTTTAGACCCGGTTTAGACCTGGTTTAGACCTGGTTTGGACCTGGTTTTAGACCCGGTTTAGACCTGGTTTAGACTAGGTTTTAAGCTGATTTAGTGTCAATGAGTGGAATTACTAAAAAAAAAAAAAAAGAAAAAAAAAAAGGGATATAGCTCAAAATGTGAAAACAGGAAAATACCGCAGTGTAATCCATTTATTTCAACAAAGTAACTGTAATCTAATTACCACTCACTGAAACAGTAACTGTAACTGAATACAGTTACTTATAATTTGTACTCTGATTACTCCGGTACATGTAATCCGTTACTCCCCAACACTGATGGTGACTGTGTTCATATTTCTGTCGAGGTTACATATCTCTCCTCTTCGGTCAGTGTGAAGGATTTTAGTCTCACCGATTTCGTCCACCACCTCGATCATCTTCTCCAGCTCGTCGGGGCAGATGTCGGGGCAGTGTGTGAAGCCAAAGTAGATCAAGATCCACTGTCCCAGGAAGTCCTCGCTCCGCACAGGTTTGTTGTGATGGTCCACCAGAGAAAAGGGTCCCCCCAGCAACGGACGTCCGATAGATTTGTTCCTCTCCTTCTCAAGCACTAAACAACAGCGAAAATACATCAGGATATGGTGAGAGATTGATGTTATGGCAACACTTTTAGTTTCAACACGGGGAAGGTTAAAGGTCAGATATGAGCTACGACTGATGATTCTGCGGTTTATTTTACTCACTTTCTTCCTTTTCTTTTTTGAAGAGCTTCATTCCTCCGAGCAGAGCGCCCCCTATCGCAAAAGTGACGGCCAGAGATTTCCACGTTACCGGCTTCAGGAACAAGAAACAAAAAAGAAAAAATCACATTGACTTCACTACGTTATGTCTAAGGTGTAAATGTAGACTTTCATTAAATTGAAGAGAAAATACTATTAATACTTTGTAGTGACATTGCACTGGGAGGTACTGCATCTATGTCTATGGCGGAATGTTCAGCGGGTGCCATGGTGACACAATGCACATATTAGCAAACATAGACAAAACTGTTTTAAGACAGAAAACTCAAGAAAAAATACAAAAGTCCACCACAAGTGTTTCGTTAAGTTTGACGTCTTTCCTTTACACTTTTTTCACTTTTTTCTGACCATGTGAGATGCAATGTGTCCGAGACTCTGCTAGCTCCTAGCTCCGCCGACCGGTCTTTCTCTTTCTTCTCCTTCTTCCAGACGCCCCTGAAGCGTCCAAATAGAAGTAACCAGTGCGGTTTTCGTCGCTATGGTCTCACTTACATAATGCTATTACAGGGTATTCGCGAAGGCCTGGAAGATTTCGTGATATGATCCCAGCCATAACTCCGTCATTGATTTACCCAGATACCATTGGAAGAAAAACTGTGATTGGTCAATTTCCAGTCCATTATATTAACCCTTTGTTTCCCAAGAAATATCAGATGGCCTCTGCATCAACTTAGAGGAGGTAGAGAGGATCTCCAACTTTAAGTTCCTGTGTGTGGAGATCAGTGAGGATCTGACCTGGAGCCTAAACACCATCAGCATTATAAAGCCCAGCAGAGACTGTTTTTTCTACGAACACTCCGCCAGAACAGGCTCTCCCAGAAGCTGCTAACCAACTTTTCCCGGTGCACCATTGAAAGTGTTCTGAAGTACTGCTGCACATCACGGTACAGAGCCTGCACAGCTGCTGAAAAGAAGAACCTGCAGCAAGTGGTGAGAACAGCTGAAAAGGTGGTGGGCTCCACTCTCCCGAACCTGGACACCATCTACTCTGCACATCTCCACACACGGGCCTCCAATATTCTGCAGGACCCCACACACCCTGAGAACTGCCTCTTTCATAGTCTCCCCGCAGGAAGGCTTCAAACTCCCCTCACATGCACAAACAGACTGAGCTACAGCTTCTACCCACGAGCAGAGGACGTGCTCCAGGGCCACAGGCACAGATCAAAGGCATGAAGGGACTCCATTTATTTTATTTATTAAATGTTTTTTTTATTGGGATGGATGTGAGGATGTGTCTATATTTGTTCATTTTTACTGCTACAGATTTGCTCTTTTGAAGTTTCCTTGTATTTCATACAATGACAATAAATAAATCTAAATCTAAAAACAACGGTGACAAGGCAATGGCTGCAGTGTGCGCTGAGTCGACGCAGAACTATTCTTCAGCCTTTATACTTGATCTGACACAGCACAAGATCATTCTAAAACTATCCACAAAAGGCTCATTTCTTTCCTGTCAATGGGACTTTAGTATTGAGACTTGCTCAGATGAGGATCTAGATTTTATACTAGTTTTAGTATCGATTAGAACAACCTGTTAATCTGGGAAAACCTCATCAAGTATTCAAAACTTTGCCTCATTTACAAAATCATCCATGGCCAGTCATCTCCTCCACAGTCTCAGCTTATCAAGATCAGAACCAGCAGACAGCGACTGACTGGAGGGGCGGCCCGTGGAGACTGCATCATCCCCCTGAGGAAAAGTGCATTCAGCTTTCAGACTGTCTTTTCCATCACAGCATCTCAGGAGTGGAACTGAATCCCTCAGCATTAGAGCACTAACATCACACAATCTCTTCAAAAAACACTTTAAGAACTGGCTAATAACTCATCAAACCTGCAATCATTACTGTGTGCCGCCCTCCCTACTAGGACTGTGCAAAAATATTGAAATATTGATATATCGTATCATTTAATGTGATGATACAGTATCGATATCGTGGGCTGTTGTATCGATATATTACCAAGAGTATTTTTTGGTATATTTTGCTAAATTATTTTGTTACAGCTACAGTTTAGTTGTTTGTTTAGACCACAGGTGTCAAACATACGGCCCGGGGGCCAGATCCGGCCCTCCAAGACCTTTAATCTGGCCCTCGGCTGATTTTCTATTAAAATATTTGAATTATATTTTCTATTAAAATATTGTTAATTTTCTGTGGTGTTTATCACAACAGCGTCTCCAGCGTCTCTGTACGTGGCCCCTCCCACCAGAGCAGCACAAATGAAGACTTGTCTCTTTCCAAACGCTCTTAAAGGACGATCGTTTTGACTGTTGACCGTGACACCCTCATCAGAAAAATGTCCAACATGAGAAAAGTGGAGCCGAGTGCAGGATTTTACAACAAAAATGGACTCCTATTTGCACACAAGTTTACGTTAAAACGATTTCTGTAATAGATTTGTGTTTCTCTGCACAAATATTTGAACTTATTGTTATTTTTGGGGTTTATATGACATGAGTTTTCTGATCCGGCCTCTTTGGGATCAAAGTAGGTTGGATACGACCCCCGGACCAAAATGAGTTTGACACCCCTGATTTAGCGGAAGAAAACTTGTTTATGTGACACATTTGACATTTTTACTGTTTTGATGATTAAAATGTTTGTGTTTCATATGAAGTTTACACAAGAAGTGATTTAACAAAGACTTTTCATATCACAGACATGATTTAGACTTTATTTTTATTGAACCATATTGAATTTATATGAAATATATTGTATCAAATCAAAAGCTCACTGTATGGAGATATGTATCATACCAGCACCTTCTTAACGATACCCAGCCCTGCTCCCTACGCGAGTGTGTCTCCTGTCTGTGTGCTCTAGTGTGTGTGTTATTTCTCATTGTGTACATTGTGGTCAGTGTTGGGGAGTAACAGATTACATGTACCGGAGTTATGTAATCAGAGTACAAATTATGAGTAACTGTATTTAGTTACAGTTACTGTTTCAGAGAGTGGTAATTGGATTACAGTTACTCTGTGGAAATAAATGGATTACAGGGCGGTATTTTCCCGTTTTCACATTTTGGGCTAAACCAGGACTAAAAGCAGGACTAAAAGCAGGACTAAACCAGGACTAAACCAGGACTAAACCAGGTCTAAACAATATGACACTAACAGTAGTGTGGACATAATTTAAAGCAGCAGTGACCTCATATAAAAATCATTTCTCTATCAATAATATAGTAGTAAGTAAGTAAAGACTGGGCTTTTTATTTTCTTTTAACAGACAAAACATCTTATGTTAACATATTCTGGTCTTTGCTTCTCTACAGCAAAACAGTTTCTTATTCATGGAGACTTGGGCTCAACAGACAATTTGAAGAGAACAAACAAGAATTTTCAGGATGTGGTTGGTACATTCATGTAGTTTTAAAAAGCATGTCAATATCAAGTAATCCAAAGTATTCAGATTACGTTACTCACTTTAAGTAATTTAATGGATTCCGTTACAAACTACATTTTGGGGTCTGTAATCTGTAATCTGTAGGGGAATACATTTTAAAAGTAACCTTCCCAACACTGATTGTGGTTATGGTTGTTAGTGTGTGTTTGAGCTGTGACACATCCAGAACGCTGCAGCTCTGGTCCCGACTCAAACTAGGAAGTACGAGCACATGCGTTCTGTGCTCAGGTCTCTGCTCTGGCTCCTGTGGCTCAGAGAATAGACTTTAAAGCAGCTCTGCCTGTGTACAAGTCTCTCCATGGTCGACATATTAGGGACCGACCTCCTGCTGGTGCCCAGAGTCAGGACTAAACACGAGGAGTCAGAGTTTCAGGTTCACGCAGCTAAAACCTGGAATAGTCTGAACATGTGAGACAGACTCGACTTTGACACTGTTTAAATACAGGCTCAAAACGGTTTTGTTTAACTGTGCATATGACTGAAAGGTTTTCATTCCGCACTCTCTCTTCTGTTTTTAAATTTTAATCTTTAATTTTATGATGATTATTAATGTTTTGATTTGTTTTTATTGGGATTTTAATGTATTTCTTATTCTGTAAAGCACTTTGAATTTCTTTGTGTACGAACTGTGCTGTACAAATAAACTTGCCTTGCCTTTGTTTTCTCACTGCCTTTTAATTGAACTTTTAAGCACAAAAGTCCTTTTTTTTTGTATAATTCTTCTTGTTGTATTTTTAGTGTGACCCTGTTCACATCTGTCCAGGAACCACAGATGAAAAATACATTTCTGGTACATTTACAGAAATTTTGATTCATGTACACAGTCCTCTCTAAATAAACCAAATACATAAACAGAGTCTGATTTTTGATACTTTTGACAGCCCTGCTCCCTAATACTGTGTCCTCCACTCTTTTGGCTCCAGTGTGAGTGTGTGTTCAGGGTGAATGGGTGAGTGTGGGTTTGATGTGATGCGTTTTGAGGGCCCAGTGAAGTGACAAAAGCTCTGTAAAAACATGAGCTCGCTGACCAAACTAAATATGTGAAAACTGTAAAAAAAAAAAAAAAAAAAAAAAAAAAAAAACTAAACGATGCTGGACTCACCCCTGACCTCTTGGGCGTGCCTGAGGACTGAGGAGGTGGCCGGGCGTAGTGTCTATAAAAGTGTCGCCACAAACTCTCATTCAACTGAAAGAAAAATGTTTGGTTAATATTTTAAATTGTGTGCTGTCCCTGTCTCAAATAACTAACTAACTAACTAACTAAATAAATAAATAAATAAATAAAACTAACTAACTAACTAAATAAATAAATAAATAAATAAATAAATAAATAACTAACTAAATAAATAACTAAATAACTAAATAAATAAAATAAATAAGTAAATAAATAACTAACTAAATAAATACATAACTAAAACTAAAACTAACTAAATAAATAATAACTAAATAACTAACTAACTAAATAAATAAATAAATAAATAAATAACTAAATAAGTAAATAAATAACTAAATAAATAAATAAATAAATACATACATACATACTTACATACATACACATACATACATAAAAACATAAATAAATACATTCTAAGTAATATCCATTTGCAATTTTCTGACAAGTATTGCGATTTATGTTTTAACGGTCAAACATTACGTAAAACTGACTCATGTTGAAATGTTGTGACCTCCTCAAAAACAGACCTGGAGTTGTGTTTTGTTTCATTCACACATGTGTGCTCCAAATGCTCTGTTCCAACCTTGTGATGTCATGAAGTGGTACAACCCCTTTTACCTTTAGCTCAGTAGAGATCGGCAGTTCCAGGTCTGAAATGATCCAAATGGTTCTAGTGAAGTTTAAAAGCACACTGGAGCACTTCCTGTATTACCACATGACATCACAAGGTGGACGTATTTTCTGTTTGAGAGACAAGACCTTACTAGAATCATCTGGATCATTTCAGCCCTGGTGAGGTAAAAGGAGCTGTCAACTTGAAAATGACCACAACATCATGACATCATAAGGTGGAACAGAGCATTTGGAGCTTTAGAGATGTAAACAGACTAATAAAAAAGGTTACTCAAACGTAAAACAAAACACAACGCTTGGTCTGTTTTTAATGAGGTAACATTATAACATGATAACTTGATTTTTTCTAATATCTAAGCTGAACTCAGAATCTGATACTAGTGCAGTTTGTCCTCACTTCACCTTTACCTCCAAGAGAAGCAACAACCCAAACAAACAGGAGATATTTGACTTATTTTAAAACATACTGAGGTTAAAATCCTCTCAAAACACTCCACTATTCCAAAAATAATGCATCTAACCTGTCCTGTTGTAATAATGCTGTAATATCAGTTTATAATCAATAGTTTGGGAGTCTGACCGGGCAGCAGCGGTGCACTCCAGCGGGCTGCAGTCTCGCCTGTGCCCGGCTCAGGCCGCTCAGAGCCCGGGCAGAGGGGCTCCGGAGACATCGGTATAGACTCGTCCCGTGGAGATGGTTAAAGCGGAGGAGTACGGCGCTGACGGACATGACGGGACCTTCACGGGGCTCCTGTGACCGGGAAGAAGCGGCTCCTCTCCGGGTTTATAAAACGTGAGAGTGCGGGGGAGCTGCTGGAGCTGATCCTGGGTCAGATCTGTCCGTCAGAGGGACGTGACGGTGAGCGCGGGGTGACGTCATCGCACTGGTTCCAAGTCAGTCGGAAGTGAGCGTGAGCAGTCTTCTTCTCACACTTTTTCTGAGTGTGTTTAGGGGCAGAGAGGGCGTTTCTGCCACCTGCTGGAGACAGGTGAATAAACGCGTACAGAAACAAACTCACTTGTGAAGAGCCGCTGTTTGACAGGTGCAGGCCGTGCGGGCTTAACCAACAGATGCTTCTAAACTATTTTTATTTTATTGCATTTTATTTTATTGTATTGTATTGTATTTTATTGTATTGTATTTTATTTTATTTTATTGTATTTATTTTTTATTTATTTATTGTTAGTTAACTATGGTACAAATACTACAAATTGCTGCATCTTTATGACACAATTAGAAACAAAATCAAGCATAATCAAAATATATTTTTTCATGTAAAAAAGTGCAGTGGATTTACAAAAGAATTTTGGAATAATTCTGAAATGAAGTAAACAAATACTGACACAATATTCTCTCTACACTTTTGAACTCATAATGTGAGTTTTTCTGGTGGTGGGACGCCATCTCCTCGTCTCTATGGAGATTAGGGTGGTCCAAATTTTTTCTTTATTTTGATTTTCTAGATTAGAACCCTTTATTTGGTTCCATATCTGGCAAAAATATTTGGGTCAAAATTTTATACAAATGAATTAATATTTAGAGGTTGCTAAAGACACTTGAAAACTGCCCTAAAGGACCTACACTATAACACAGAACTAAATAAATAAGGCATATTCCAATAATTTGTCATTTTGTTCTGCAAACTCAAACTGAAACTTAAGCATAAAAAAAAAATACTGAGAAAGTCCATACAAGCTGCTTAGAAAACTTGAAGCAACTTGAGCAACCTCTAAAAAATCTCCTTTTTCTTCCAAATTTCTTCCTAAATCATCTTTTGGAAGCTAAAACCTAATGCAGGGTTCTAATCAAGGTTATCTGAAACTTTTTTTTTTTTATGCTTTGATGGACCAGCCTATTGGAGATGTAATTGTTTTTGCTGCATATTACACAGTATGGCATTAAACTTTGCTATCTCCATAGAAACAAGCAGTTACAGGTCAGTTCTGTGGTAAGGCTACCTCACTCACAGTAACAATGTATGTTTTATGTATTTTTGAGAAAGACAAACAAATGTAGTGAAATAAATGGCAGACAGATGCGGTATGTTTGTCATACTGTGGAACCTTTTACACAAAACAAAAACAAACCCTCCACCAGAAAAGTTTCAAAGTGCAGCTTTAACTCAGCAGTTCATGTTTCAGTCTTCTCTCAGCTGGAGATGCTCCTGGAGTGTTGAAAAGACATGTTAAATGGCGGTTTTGCAGTGCGAGGGCCAGTCCGCTCGCAGCTCTTTGTTGACGTAATAATAAACCCAGGACACGAAGGGGAAGACGGCGATGGCGGCGGCAGTGGACACTCGGAGGACGCCCACGGGACTCCTGACGGAAGAAAGATAATGATCAACACTAGAAGAGTTGAGAGATTAATCACAATCAAAATCGCAGTTTGGATGGATACAAATCACAAAATAGTACAAAAATTTCCTCCACAAACAGTGTTGGGAAAGTGACTTTTAAAATGTAATCCCCTACAGATTACACATTACATACCCCAAAATGTAGTTTGTAACGTAATCCATTAAATTACTTAAAGTGAGTAATGTAATCTGAGTACTTTGGATTACTTGATTTGCTGTAGAGACGCAAAGACGAGGAAATCTTCACATAAGATGTTTTGTCTGATAAAAGAAAATAAAAAAGCCCAGACTTTACTTAACTGTATTAATATTAATATAATATTAATATTATTGATAGAAGAGGAGGAAACACGGTCCATGCAGCATGATTTAGTCCTGTTAAATCCTGTTTTAGACCTCGTTTAGACCTGGTTTTAGTCCTGGTTTAATCCTGGTTTAGTCTTGGTTTAGACCTAGTTTAGAACTGGTTTTAGATTTGGTTTAGACCTGGTTTGGACCTGGTTTAGTGTCCGGCAATGAGTGAAATTACCAAAAAAAAAAAAAAAGAAAAAAAAAGGAAAAAAAAGGGGATATAGCCCGAAATGTGAAAACAGGAAAATACTGCTGTGTAATCCATTTATTTCAACAAAGTAACTGTAATCTAATTACCACTCATTAAAACAGTAACTGTAACCGAATACAGTTACTCATAATTTGTACTCTGATTACGTAACTCCGGTACATGTAATCTGTTACTCCCCAACACTGACCACAAACAACAAAATCTCCTGTCTTACTCTGATGAAAACTGTTTACATGTAAACATTGTTTCATTTTGAGTTTTGAGTTTTACCTCCCAGAGTGACGACAGAGGAGCAGCCAAAACACAGTCAACAGCAGTCCACAAAACTCCCTGGAAAATCAGACAACACTATTATAATTACAAAATTATTACATTACTAAATGTCCCTGTGTCTCTACGGGTTTTATTCTGTGCAAAAACTTCAAACCCTGTAAGTTTAGACCTCTCCAAACATGTTCTGAAATACTTTGGAGACTTGAACTAGTTCAGATTTCACTCTGCTCTCAAATATGTAAGGTAAGGGCCTTTCTTGTGCATTAATCAAACTTTTTTTATTTATTTAAACATTTGGACAGGCAGCCTTTGTTAAGATCATCTCAGCTCCATTCTTCATTTGTGAAACGTACCTCCCCTCCTCGCGCTGGAAGATGTCTGTGACCCGCTCTTTGACCAGAGTCCAGCCCAGAATCGAGACCACAGCAGAGGACAGGAGAACGTGTAGGTCCGCCACTGTCCTCCAGGGGGCGCTCTCTGGGAGAACACAGGGACAGAAATGACTTCATTCAAGTGGAAAGGTCCAAGCAGCCAAAAAAACCCCCAAAAACCTAAAATAAAATCATGTGTTCTTTGTTTATTCTCTCATACTCAGAACATGCTTGCATCTCCACAAACCTGACTCTTACTTGGCTTGTTTCCATGGAAATGCTGTTCCTTTGGATATTATTTGGCTAATTTTACACAGTATGCCATAAAAGTCCACATCACACACACCAGAACATCTTGACACAACAGGACATTTAAAATACACAATCTGATCTGACCAGATGCTCCTGTCCTTTATGTTCCAGTTCTTTTGATTTGTTGATCTGCCCCTTTGCTGCTGCCAAGACTGTTACTGTCTACAATACTTTGTACCTGAACTGATACTATTACTATTACTATTATTATTACTATTACTATTTTTTTTTTTATTTCTATTCCTATTACTATTTCTGTTACTATTTCTATTACTTACTATTACTATTTCTATTACTATTACTTTTTCTATTACTATTACTATTTCTATTACCATTTCTATTAATATTTCTATTAATATTTCTATTATTATTACTATTTCTATTACTTACAATTATTATTTCTATTACTATTTTTATTACTATTACTGTGTGCTAATGTTTACATAGTGGGTGTTAGAGGGTGAGTACTTTGTAGTATTCAGCACTTCTTTTCAACATACTATGCAGTCTGTGATGCTCTAACCCAGAGGTGCTCAATACGTTGATCGCGATCTACCAGTCGATCGCCAAGGTGGTGTGGGTAGATCGCCGTGTCTCGTCTCGGACTCGATGGCGTTTGGACTCGGTCTTGTCTCTCACTCGAGGTCTGACACTCAACAAGTGTGATCATATTTCATTACGGCCGCTGCTGTTGGTAATAAACTTGTAGCGGGTGCAGGAGCGTGTGGGGCGTCTCAGTGCAGCCTGTGCGCTCATTTGAAACCCGCGGAGACTCTACGGCACATCACAAACACACACGCTCCCTATGCACGGCTCGTCTGCGACAGCGTGTGCCCTCGTGTACCAGCGTGCATCACAGGGCAGGTTCAACTTCCTAAACATCCTACCTGTCCATCTGCCTCACGTCAGCACGCCGCCCCTCGCCTTTTCACGCTCTCGCTCCTTCCTGCGTACAGCGAACACAAGCCCCTCCCACAGTGCGGCTGATTAGAAGAGCAAGACCAAACGTGAAGCAAAAAACCAGTCTAAATTTGTGTTCCAGTGTTGGCACAAAGCAGGTCTCTACAGCATAGAGCGGATCTACAGAACAGACCTACTGCCACATTTGGCTGAAGTTTGTCTAACAAAAGTGCACAAATGCATCTGTGTTTGTCACGATGTGCGTTTGGTTTGGTAAATGTGCAGAGGCTGGTAAATATCACTGCAAAACCAGAAAAGAATGCAACTCCAGTTTGGAACTTTAAAAAACAGGTTTAAATCTTACCTACTTCCTTCACTTTTTTAACAGATTTGTGTAAATTGTCAGAGGAAGTTCTCTTAAAGAAGGGCTTCTCAAACTGTGGGGGGGGGTCCAAAAAAGGGGCACAGAGTGTTTCAGTGCAGTTTGCTTGGCTTTGTATTAGCTAGATCATTTTGACTTGGTCATTTTGTAAGTAGCTCACATGCTGAAAAAGTGTGAGCACCTCTGATCTAACATAATATTGTTGTGATTTTATATGACAGTGACAATAAAGCAACTGAACTGAACTGATCTATCTCCACAGAGAATGTTCCAAAGTATTGTTTTAACTTTGTATTTTCATGGAATCATGCAGGTGATGCGACCACCTCCAGAAAGTCACAAACTATAGCTTTAATTAAATACTTAGGGATTTAAATTTTTACGGTGCCTAAATAAATAAATGAATTAATACATGAATAAATAAATAAATAAATAAAATAATTAATAAATAAATAAAAATAGTTTCTGCTTGCTCTGCTGACAAAATTGGGAAACACACAGCTATTTAAATAAGGCTAAAACAAAAACTATAGTATAGGAAACAATTACCCTCATTGAATCATTCTCTAAAATCTCTGACTACTCAATAAACTGGACAAAATCCTCCATCCTCCCATTACACAACACCAAATGGGATGCGACAGCCCATACATCACATATTCCTTTATGCACCGGTCACATCACATACTTGGGCATTAACATTTCCTCCAGGCTGTCAGAGCTGACTGGACTCAACTTCACTCCACTTCTCAAAACAATAGACAACGATCTATACCACTGGAGGAATCTACCACTATCCATTCTGGGCAGAATAGCAATAATCAAAATGAAAATACTTCCCAAAATAAATGACCTCTTTTCAATGATTCCAATCCAACCCAACAGCACCTGGTTCAGCTCCCTCGACTCAATAATCACCAAGTTCTACTGGAAAAATAAGCCACCAAGGATCAAACTGACAACACTTCAAAAACCCAAAGCAACAGGCGGATTAGATGCTCCACACTTCTATCATTACTTTCTGTCAAATCAGTTACAGTACATATACAAGTGGACACACCCCAGTCACTCAGATTACACCTGGCTAGACATAGAAGAAACACTCTGTAAGGACATTCAGATTTCAGATATCCCTTTTCTCAGCCAATCAATCAAACGACATCCATGTTTCAAAGTAACAACCATAGCATCCGCTCTGACAGCCTGGTGGAAATTCCACAAAATCACACGTTCAACTATCTCACTATCTAACTTCACCCCCATCTGGAATAACCCTGATTTTCTTAGCAACAAAAAAAACACTTAATTTTCACTCCTGGGTGCAAAAGGGCATCACACATTTAAACACATCTTCCATAATAACACCCTGGTGTCATTCCCATACCTGGTCCAGGAGTTTGGCATCACGAGTAATCAGTTTCTGGAATATTCACAACTCAAATCCTCGGTACAGTAAAAAATTAATACTAGTACAGCAAATCTATGCCTTTCCCCTGCAATCTCAGAATTAATCAATATCCCCAACCCCAAAAAACTCCTTTCAAAGATTTATAAAATAATATCTCACTCCGACCAAACTATATCATTACCGTTAATAAAATGGGAACCAGATCTCTCCCTCACTCGTGATGCCAACTTCTGGACCCAGATCTGTAAAAACATTTATCTCATGACAAAAAATGCAAATCTACAACTCATACAATATAAGGTACTCCACAGAACTCACTACACTGGTCAAAAAATGCTGAAAATGGGTTTGACATCAGAAATTAACTGCACAAATTGCACACAAAACCTCCCCGACACTTATATTCACGCCTTCTGGCATTGCACACCCATCAGGCACTTCTGGGAAGGAATCACGGACTCACTATCCCACTTCATGGGCTGTCGCATCCCCATGTCCCCCTCACTCTGTCTTCTAGGAGACCTTTCAATAATCTCAATAGATAATAAAAACCATAAACCTCTCCTTGTGGCTCTAACTATCGCCAAGAAAACTATCCTCATGAACTGGAAATCAAGACACAACATACATCTGACACACTGGAAAAACCTACTCATTGACCATATCTCTCTGGAATACACATCTACTACCCCCGTCAGCACAACAGCACCACACTCACCCTGGTCCACCTTCCTCCATTTTCTACAAATGTAATTTCATATTTGATTATTCTTCTCCTCGTTCCTTAACACTTTTCTTTGTCTGGTTGCCTATCACCTTTTGCTTGACATTAAAATAGATGAAGTCCTGAGAGTACATACACATGCACACATGCACACACACATAACACACCCACACACACTCACACACACCTGTACAAACACACGCAATGCCATACACACCGCTTTACTTTATACAGAAACAGGGATGGGATAGACAGGCTATATAAAACAGAACTGTAGTAGACTTAGGAACACAGCACAAAGTTGTCTGCCTCAGGTCCCTAGCGGGCTGGGCCCTCTCTGCTGTCACCTGGGTGTTGGGTGTGGGGTCCACCTACGGGTGCCCGGTTGCGTGCTCTCCCGTCCCCTCAGGGTCTCCCCTCTGTGCTGGCTTCACTCTCTGGTCTACCCCCAAGCTCCTTACCTCCCTGATACTTTTAATGCATCACACCCCAACTTTTTTTTTTTAATGCATCACAAGTCAACCAGGGATGAATGTGGGTTCAAGTGTGTGAATTGTGTGAGTGTGTGTGTAGGCTTGTGTGTATGTGGATGTGCGTGCACATTCCTGTGCAGGCAGGTGCGTGCATGCATGTGTGCGTGTGAATGTATGCACATGTACATATATATCAGGGAGGGGGAGCATTCAGACCGGGAGGTGGTTCATTGGGGGGTGGGCCGGCCTGGTCGATGGGCGACCACATGCGGAGCCCTGGGGGTGGCCCCCGCACCCGCCTTGGGGGGCATGAGTGTGGCTTGGCCTGCTCCCACTTGAGTGGGGATCTGAGGCAAAATGCCAACACACACAACAAATTTTCAATACTCAAATTAAATAGCAATAATACAGGTCAACATTAAATCATCCGCATAGCCTGTCTATCCCCCCCGGCACACATACATACACACGCGTATGCACACACATGCACACACATACACACACACACATACACGCACGCATATACACACACATACACACGCGTACACACACACACACACACACACATACACACACACACACATACACACACACACACGCGTATGCACACACATACACACACACACATACACACACACACATACACACACACACGCACACACACATACATACACACACACACACACACACACACACGCGCACACACACACACACACACACGCGCACACACATAAGGTTCACACTGTCTCCAACCCCTGTCATCTTTGTTACTATTTGTATGTAATGTTCAGTCGTAATGTCTTGTATCTTGTATGTTGTTTGGTTCCTATTTGTTGTAATCTATGTAGTTTGCAAATAAAAATTATTATTTAAAAAAAAACAAAACAAAACTATAGTAAATGTACTTTCAGTTGATTAAAACCCCCAAATTATGCCCTTTTTTTCATGGGGAGACAACATTCTAACATGACAAAAGACATAAAAGTCCCAGTACACACCTGTCACCTGAGGCCACCAGCCAATCAGAGCACAGAGCAGCGAGGGGACCCCATACCCAACCTGCAACACATCAATAAACTATAAATGTTCCCAAATCAAATACGTGTTAGAGAAAAACAAAGTTAAGAGAAAACAAATCGAGATATTACCATCCACAATCCTGCATCTGGATCATTTATCTGCAAACCAAACGAAGCCCGAGGTTAGAAAATTAAACCTGAAATCGTGCACATTTGACGCACACACCTGCACGTACGTTGCAAGGCCGAAAAATAGCGCCATAGAAGCGTTGCATAGGCGCCACACAACATCGAGTCGTGCCTTTTCGGACTTTTCACCAACTTCTCCCATTTTGCACTTTAACCACTGCCTTCTGTTCAGCGGAAAAAACACACGAGATACCGAGGGTGCGTTTGTTTTGTACAACTGCAGCGCCACGAATAAACAGATTTGGACATTTGCAACAGAAAACAAGATGTAAAGGAAATTTATAAAAATGCGTAATAAACACAGTGATTAAACCAGATTAAATAACGGATCCACGGTATTTTGGCATAATTTAAAGTCTATTTTCAGTGTAGTATTCGTTATAACGGATGATGAGGTGAGTAAAAGAAACACACCTTTAACATTTTGAGCATCGTCAGAAAAGCGTTAAAACTGTAAACTACTTCCTGTTTGTTTCTATAATAAAAGCTTGGTTAGACTTCAACTTTTGATCCACAAGGGAAATGATTTGGACACATGAGCTCACACATCACAATAAATATAATAACAAAGAGAAAAAATATAAATGTAATGATAAATTCTAAATAAGTAGCAAAAAAAAAAAAAAAAAAAAAAAAAAAAAAGCAAGAGAATGGTGTCAAATAAAATTATTGATATAAATGTAAATGTACAAGTCAAAATAAAATAGACTAAAAAAAGTAATAAAATATAAAATCACAGCTTTATCCAAGATGTCACAGGAAATGCAATAATGATTTGATGATTGACAGAACATAGGGAATATTATCTGTTACATAAGAGTGAGTTGTTATACAGTTGTAGGGAGTATTATCTGTTACATAAGGGTGAGTTGTTGTACAGTTGTAGGGAGTATTATCTGTTACATAAGGGTGAGTTGTTGTACAGTTGTAGGGAGTATTATCTGTCACATAAGGGTGAGTTCTTGTACAGTTGTAGGGAGTATTATCTATTACACAAGTTGAGTTGTTGTACAGTTGTAAGGAGTATTATCTGTTCCATAAGGTTAAGTTTTGTCCAGTTGTAGGGAGTATTATCTGTTCTATAAAGGTGAGCTGTTGTGCAGTTGTAGGGAGTATTATCCATTACATAAGGGTGAGTTCTTTTACAGTTGTAGGGAGTATTATATGCCCCTCTATAGTCTGGTGAGGTGGGTGAGTTGTACAGTTGTAGGGAGTATTATATGTCCCTCTATAGTCTGGTGCAGTAGGTGAGTTGTTGTACAGTTGTAGGGAGTATTATCTGTCCGTCTATAGTCTGGTGCAGTGGGTGAGTTGTTGTACAGTTGTAGGGAGTATTATCTGTCCGTCTATAGTCTGGTGCAGTGGGTGAGTTGTTGTACAGTTGTAGGGAGTATTATCTGTCCGTCTATAGTCTGGTGCAGTGGGTGAGTTGTTGTACAGTTGTATGGAGTATTATCTGTCCGTCTATAGTCTGGTGCAGTGGGTGAGTTGTTGTACAGTTGTAGGGAGTATTATCTGTCCGTCTATAGTCTGGTGCAGTGGGTGAGTTGTTGTACAGTTGTAGGGAGTATTATCTGTCCGTCTATAGTATGGTGCAGTGGGTGAGCAGGATTGTCCATGATGGAGAGCAGTTTGTCCAGTGTCCTCATGTCCCTCACTGTGACAAATGTCTCCAGAAGTGAAAGAGTACTTAAAATCTGAATTATAAAAATAGTTTCATAAAAGAATAAATTAATAACTAATATTTTAAGTAAGTTTATGCCTAATGAACGTACGTAAAAATGTTATTAACTAGAGCAGAGATGGTAAGATAATGTTGTTATGGTTTTATTGTGAAAGGGCGCGTGAGTGTGCGGAAGTGGCCGTCCGCTGTTGCTGTCCGTGTCAGCTGATCACAGCGTTAGCTTCTGGAGTTAGCCTAGTCCAGCTGCGGTTTGTTGTCGTCCTCACTTCGCCTTTTTAACCTCTACATTTCCACCAAACCGATACGTCTGTACACCTAACCCCGAGATCCGTCCTCGTAGCGCGGTCTGGAACGGCTTCACCCCGCGGTGCGTGCACTCCGGGCGCAGGGGAAGGTGAACAATGGCGACTCCCAGCGCTAACAACTCCGCGGCGGCCAACAACAGCAGCGGCAGCCCGGATCAGCTGCTCCACCAGCCGCAGCTCCAGCCCCCGCGGGTCACCACCGTCAGCAGCCTGCAGGGTAAGCGCCGGAGCCGGGGCAGAGGCGGGGGGGAGCCGGGGCAGAGCCGGGGGAGCACGGCCTGGTCCGGTTTGGCTCTGCGGGGCTCGGGTTTAGCTTTGGGTTAGCAGCTGATTAGCGACGGGAGGCTCACAGCAAAACACTAAAGATCAGATTAGTCAAGGAGGAAAATCCAGTGTTTCCATTATTACAGGAGATTATTGTGCCCCTCCACAGTCTAAAAACAACCTAACAACTCGACTGGGTTAACAAAACTAGACTTTGCTGCATTTGCATGATCATAAATGTATAAAAGAGACTACACTGAACTAAATGACTGGTTAAAGAGGAAATATCTATACTCTATTCGTCGAAATGGGGTTAATTTATTCAAAATCCACCATAATCTTACCCAAATCTATAGAAAACACTGACATTGTTTTATGCACCTTAATGTACATTATAATTATGACATGGGTGTGATTTCTGCAGTACTGCCACTGCTTCTCCAAATGTACTTCCTAGTTCCTATAAAAACGCAGTTTATTTCTGTTATACTTTAGGTGTCATGTTCCACCTTTGTGGTGGTGTTAATAGAATGAAAATCCAGATTTTGTTGTAACAGTATCATGATTATGCCCCAAAAGTCTGTTTTATAAACCATGACCATTTAAAATCCACTTGAACACAAGAAACACAAGTCATTGCATTGCTTTATAAATGAGGTTAATAATACAAATATAATAATTAGACTTAGACTTTGATAAACTTTATTGATCCACAAGGGAAATTATTTGGGCACAGTAGCTCAGACATCACAATATATTACAATAACACAGAGTAAAAAATATATTTATAAAAATGTAATAAACGTCTAAATAAGCAGCAATAAAAATAGCAAGAGATTTGTATCACTAAGACATACATTATATAGATGTATTTACAGTAAGTAAAAAGAAAAAAAAATCAAATGTTGTCAACCAGGTGTGGGAGATATATAGAAAAAAATCCTTCACATTGGGTTCTGGAGATGTGCAAAATTAGAATCTCAAAACTATATTATTGGTCAGTACGGCTGTCAAAACCACAGAAGATCAGATACTAACTAATCAATACTGAAACTTACTCATTTGAGCAGGTACTGATACTAAAAAAGTCCCATTGACGGCACAGAAATGAACCTTTCCTGAATGTCAGTAGATGACTAATGATCTTAAACTGGAAATCAGATGGAAAGTCCACCTGGCTGAAAGGTCCCCAAGCTGGAAAGTTCCCCTGAATTGTACCCTTCATGAAACTAAATTAGGTAATCTATATACATAAAAAAAAAAAAAAAAAAAAAATCATTATATATATATATATATATATATATATATATATATATATATATATATATATATATATATATATATTGTATAGAATGAAATGCAAGTCTGGATGATTTTTGAAGAAATTCTGTTGTGCTGCTTACAAATTATGTTCATGGCAAGTAAGGCAAAAATGTATATTTCTTCCCAAATCAACAGTTAAAGATGATACAGGACATGGGAAACAATAATAATAATTTAATAATAATTTCATAGCAAATGAGGATTATATTGATATTACAGGCTTCAGGAAGATGTGTAAAATGACATAAACAAGGCCTGACATTTGGTCTCGCTACATTCACATTTCATTTTATTATGATATAGAATGCTGATTTTCTAACTCAGTACAGCACACACTGAAGGCCGCTGAGAACGTCCCCCCTCTCCCGGGTACAGCAGTTACCCGTGTGCTGCCCAAGAGAAGGAGGTGCCCGGAGGGAGCAGGGGGATGTTTCTGCCGAGGGAACTGGACGCTTGACCTGGGACTTTCAAGCAAGGGGGACACTCGAGCCGGTGTGAGATAGTATTTTGACCCCCATAGTACATTGACCGGGGGGGGGGGGGGGGGGGGGGGGGGACATACCGCTATAGTAAAGTGACCCCCCCATAGGATTTGACTCCCCTTACTTTTTTCTTTAGTAGTTACTTATCTGATCATTATTTCTCATGTCATTGACTTTTATTATATATTGCTACATATTCACTTTCTTTTAAAGTATTTTAAGGAATGTTTTGATGGAGAATGACTTGGTATTTTGTGTAAATATAACGTATTGTTAAAATTGCATATACAGAGCAATCTTGTCACTTTTTATATTATATTTTACATTGTTGTGGTTTTTAGTTTGCTCTGTTCAGATAATCCTTAATCATAAAGCCAATTTAGGCAATGGTTTGTAATTGAATTGAATTTAGTCATGTTGTGTTATAATACACATATTGGGGGTCAGATTACTATAGTCATAGGTATCTCCTATTTAACTACTCAATTGATCAGCCCTGTCTATTTTAACAAGATTCCAAATCATTATTCATCACTTTAATTACCTAACTCATTAATAACTACTTATGTGATTTTCACTAAAATATGTACAAATTTTTAACATCCAAAAGTTATAATCAACATAAAAATGCATCTGAGTTCTTCAAAAAACACTTTTAAATATGTCAGTATGTTTTCATTTGCAGATATAGTATTAATATTCAAAGTTTTTCTATAAAATTCAAGTTGTTTATCAACATACCATAATAGGATTCTGACCCCGGGTTCAAAATACTGTATGGTATGTTGACCCCGGGGTCACCTCACCGGTATTCGCTGTAAACAGATATAAGGACACATGGGAACAGAAAAGAAAGTTCTACTATTTAATGTTGAAAATCACATTCTACTGTCTAAAGAAAGAGTGTTTTTATTATCGTATTGAGTATCAAGTCTAGTCCTTAGTATCAAAATCATGTTTGAAGTGTTCGTAACGTGACAACACTACCGGTCAACATAAACATGAACTCTTTACTGTCATGTTTCATCATTGGTGTTTTCTTGTCTGATTGTCTGATTTGAATTCTTTCTCTTGACCTTAACTGTTGTGACTTTCAGAATCCAACACTTGCTGGAGGTGTCAGAGCGAAACGGGTAACTACGCCTTATTTTAACTTTTACCTCCCTCCTCTGCCCCTGTGGACTAAACTAAACATGTGAATAAGTAGTATCTGTAGAAATGTCACTAAATTACCGTTTAGGTGTGTTAGAATCTCACACTGCACCACAATAAGACGCAGTCCATTCTTCTAATTGGTCAAACTAGGGCTGGGCGATATGGAGCAAAAAATATATCTCGATATATTTGACTATATCTCGATATATGATATATATCTCGATATGTGTACAGGAAAAAATAACCTGCAAAAACAAATCTGCCAAATTCCACAAGATTTTTTTTTTTTATTCTGCAAGAGGCAGTTCATGTAGAATCAAAGTGCTTCTGCCACATTTAAGATTACCAAAAATCCTTGATTACATAAATAATAATTAACTGTAAAATAAAATAAATAAACATATTTCCTTCTTTTCATTCATAAATAAAACAACTCAGCTCAAGCTCATCTTTGCATTAACTCTGTTAACCATATGGTAACCATGAGCTCCTTTAGCGTCAGAAGCTCAGGAGGTTCATTATTTTAACAGAAACATGTTCCTCACCAGTGTGAGGAGCTCTGAGGTTTCCCACAATCCACTGCAGATCAAACCCAACATTTCCAAACACTATTGTACAAGTTACACTGCAGCAGAATATTCATTAAAATCTTCTGCATAAATAAACTAAAAAAAAATCTCTATATTTAAAATATTGAGATATCGCCCACCCCTAAGTCAAACTGATAAAAATTAAGAATCTTTTAACCCAATATAATCTATAAAAGTATAATATAAAGTGCATGCTCTTCAGTTCAGTGCAGAGAAACCTTCTGGTGCAGTCGTCTTGCAGTAGGGCTGGGCAAAAAAAAAAAAATCGATTCAACCATTTAATCGAACGTGAATTTCAAATCCATTTCTTTGGAAGGCATTATTTTATCATTATTTATGTGATTTTTATTTCAACCACTTTCTTCAGTTGGAAATTGCTCTAAAAGCTTCTTGCGTTGGTCATAGGAGCAGAGTTTATTTAAAGGGCCCATCTCATGCAAAATCAACTTTTCAGAGCTTTCTACCTTCTAAGAGTGATGTGTCGGCTTTGTATTTGTCGCCAAAGTGGTTTTTAGTTTGATTCAGTGTTTTTTTTTTAACAAATTGGAGCGTATTTCTGCCACCCTCCCACGTGACAACGAACCAAAGCTGCTACAACGATGACACGACAGATACACCTATGACACGTTTGACGTAGCAGAAAAGACTTCACACCCACCTCCCTCCCCCGCTCCACCGCCTCCACCCCACGTCGGCTGACAATTCTCACATGAACACCTAAACAAAAGCGACAGCATAAGCTCATTGTTCTACACTGCAGTGAACACGATATAATAAGTTAATCTACTAGTGTTTATTAATACTTTACCCATCAGTAATGTTCAGCTGATGTGGACGCGGTGCTTGAGCTTCGTGCTCCTCAAAGTCCTCGTCCGATTCCAGGTCCAACACATGCAGCTGAACGCACTGTATCACCATGATGAATAAAAGTTTATTCCTACCACTATCAGGGCGCACGTCTGTCTCCCCCTCCCTCCCTGAGATGGCGGAGGAAGGGCGGCTCACTCGTCGGAGGCGGAGCCTGTGTTTTCTCAGGACGGGCGGGGGGAGGAGCAATAGTCGGCCTTTCATAGTTCCTGGTCTGTGACTGTCTCCAAGAAATCAGTAAGATTTCAGAACTATTGTGTAATGAATGTTCCAAAACCCAAATTGTGCTGGTTTATGTGCAGAAGATACAATGTGAAAAGAGTTATTTTGAACGAGATGGGCCCTTTAATGAAATGTTGGTGCTTCATGTTTAATGCAATAACTAGTTTAATCTCCTTCATAAAGATTTTCCCAAAGGCCAGTGGGTTATTTGTTTATTTCATTCATAAAGTGTAAAAATAGATTAACGAAGGAGCAGAAAGAAGAGTCATTTTATGTTATCTGGCCGCTCTTCCCTTTTCCAGACAATACATGAACCCTGATAGTCACTTTAAACGGTGATGATGGACCATTTTCTGTAGTTTGCATTACGTTTTTAGTGGATAGGAGGAGAAATATCAAAAAATCTCAATGAAAATAAATATTTTTAAGAGTAAATCGACAGTTTTATTTCCAGACATAGTCGCCCAGCCCTGTCCTGCTGTGCCGTTTAGTACAAATGCGTCTGTTCTTGTTTAATGTTGTTGAATGTGGCTAACCTCTGTTTCTCTCTAACTCCTGCCGTGACGCCGAACGGTGAGACTCTCCGGTTAAATACAGATACATGTTTAAACTGTTATTTTTACAGGTTCATTTTTCATCTTCATCTGTTTTGTTTTTGCATGTTCCATCGACAACGTGAGGGCTGAGGACCTGAGGGTGAGAGTGAGAGTGACGTTACGGTTACAAGTTATAACCCCCATTTTGAATTGAGTATTTTTTAATTCCTAAAACACAAAGACAACTAATATTTGGCTCCAGGTTTTAAATGGCAGAACTTTTTCTTATTATAGAACAGAATTTAATGACTTCTGTTTTACTTTCTGTTGTTTGTGAGCGCCTCATAATCTTTTATTTGATTTAAAACACGATTCTTCCCAAATTGTCACTTTCGCCCAAAGCTTCTCAGCCCTCATTTTGCAAGGCCAGTTTCTCTGATCCTCGAGTCTCATTTTAGCCGTGAGGTTTGACTCTAGAGTAAATTTGACTGGAGTAAACGCTGTGTTTCGTCTCTGTAGGCTTCCAGATAAACCTGTCTGGAGCTCCCCCAAGTAAGAGCACGTCTGCTGCCCGCGTGTGAGCTCTGGTTCTGGGGTAGAGTGTCCGGGTTTGGCCCCCGTTTAACCTCCAGTGAGCGGAGAGGAGAGGCCTGTGGCAAATACACTCGCGTCAGGGAGAAAAGATAACATCTGGAGGTGCACTGCGGAACTTTTCTGGTGGAGGGTCCGCCATCTGCTTTGCCTGGGATGTTCCGCAGTATGGCATTAAACATATGTATTTTGTTTTTATTCAATTACAGACAGTGTTGGGAAGGTTACTTTTAAAATGTATTCCCCTACAGATTACAGATTACACACACCAAAATGTAGTTTGTAACGTAATCCATTAAATTACTTAAAGTGAGTAACATAATCTGAATACTTTGGATTACTTGATATTGTCATGCTTTTTAATACGACATGAATGTAGCAAACGCATCCTGATAGAGGAATGATTTTTATATGAGATCACTGCTGCGTTCAATTATGTCCACCCTACTGTTAAGTGTCATATTGTTTAGTCCTGGTTTAGTCCTGGTTTTAGTCCTTGTTTTAGACCTAGTTTAATCCTGGTTTAGTCTTGGTTTAGTCTTGATTTAGTCCTGGTTTAGTCCTGGTTTTAGTCCTGGTTTAGCCCAAAATGTGAAAACAGAAAAATACTGCCCTGTAATCCATTTATTTCAACAAAGTAACTGTAATCCATTTACCTCTCATTGAAACAGTATCTGTAACTGAATACAGTTACTCATAATTTGTACTCTGATTACGTAATCCCAGTACATGTAATCTGTTACTCCCCAACACTGATTACAGATGTTTTTGTTTCTCACTACTACAATAAAAACGTGCATTATTGCTGTGAACAGGCACGCTTCTCCACAAAATTCATTGCCATACTGTAGAATATTGCAGGAAAAATAACAGAGTCAAGCAGGTGACGGACCCTTGACCAGAAAAGTTCCACAGTGCACCTTTAAGTTAGAATAATGTCAAATCTGAGCATCAAACCTGAGCTGTTCTGAAGCAGAGAAAAGAAGTAAGGTTAAAAAAATCTAATACCAAAATGAGTATTGAAACTAGAAACTCATCTGAGCAGGTATCAATGGTAAATAGTCCCACTGACAGAACAGAAATGAACCTTTCCTGAATAGTTTTAGAATGATCCAAGATCTGGTTTAGACCTGTTTTTGTGCTGGTTTAGTCCTGGGTTTACTCCTGGATTAGTTCTGGGTTTAGCCCTGATTTAGATCTGGTTTAGACCTGGTTTAGACCTGGTTTAGACCTGGTTTAGATCTGGTTTAGACCTGGTTTAGACCTGGTTTAGAACCTAGTTTAGACCTACTTTAGACCTACTTTAGACCTGGTTTAGACCTGGTTTAGACCTGGTTTAGACCTGGTTTAGACCTAGTTTAGACCTGGTTTAGACTTGGTTTTGTGTTGGTTTAGTCCCTGTTTAGATCTGACCTACAACTGGTTTAGTCTTGGGTTTACTCCTGGATTAGTTCCAGGTTTAGACCTGGTTTCATTTTGGTTTACAACAGGCTTCAACCTGGTTTAGATCTGAGCTACAACTTGTTTAATCCTGGGTTTCCTCCTGGATTAGTTCTGGGTTTAGTTCTGCTTTAGTCGTAGGTGTAGTCTTGGTTTAGACCTGGTTTATTCCCAGTTTTGTGCTGGTTTAGTCTCAGTTTAGACCTGGCTTTGACCTTGTTTAGATCTGATCTACAACTGGTTTAGTCCTGGTTTCGTCCCTGGTCAGTCCACGATTCAGTCATATCTGTATCAAAACAAGTATAAGATCACATTTGCGACCACATTGGAAGAGAAACGAATGTATTACCATTTATTGTTGAAAATCACATTCTGTTTACCAATCTTGAGACAACTTTCCAATATTTGCAGTGAAGAACAGGTGAAAGATAAAACCAGCTTTAGTTTTACACATAACCTGGTGTATTTGAGTGTATTTGCCCCGGAGCCTGTGGTGTTCACTGTCTAACGCAGCTCAGTTTGTTCCACTAACATCATCTGGACTTTCTCTGATTTTGGTGTAGAGTTTGTTTTATCACAGCAGTTGGCCTTAAATGCATGACGTTACCTTTTTAATACAGTTTTATGGTACGGTCTTATGTTTTGTATTGTCGTTGGGTTGGTTTTGTGGGTTGTGGATAGGCCTGTCACGATAACGATAAGTTTTGGCTATGAACAGTAAAATTGAAGCTACTTTTTGCCACGGACGCAATAAAATAAAGCAGGATTATCGTAGAGAACCGTTTTGAAATAGAAAGTATCATTAGGAGACGAGCTGCAACGAAAAACAGAATGAACCAATAACAGAATACCACAGAAGTTACTCATTCAATGTTCTATGCCTCAAATCTCAATGTATTACAACAAAAAATACCACAAATCTCCCAATGTTTGCAGAGAAAATGTACAAACGATGAATAGTGACATGTTTCTCCGGTTTAGTGCAGATAAGTGGATATAGTGGTTATGGTGACAGGCCTAGTTGTGAATGTGGGTGTGAGCTGCATGTTCTGGGATTTCTAAACTATTTAAAAATAATATTTACTGGTGTCAAATGCCTCTCAGACTCATGCTACGGGTTATTACTGCAGATTAGGCAGATTAGACCTGGTTTAGTCCTGGTTTGGACCTGGTTTGGACCTGGTTTAGACTTGGTTTTAGTCCGGGTTTAGACTTGGTTTAGACTTGGTTTAGATCTAGTTTAGACCTGATTTTAGTCCTGGATTGGTCCTGGATTAGTCCTGGATTAGTCCTGGTTTAGACCTGGTTTAGTCCTGATTTAGTCCTGCTTTAGTCCTGGATTAGTCCTGGTTTAGACCTGGTTTAGAACTGGTTTAGTCCTGGCTTAGTCCTGGCTTAGTCCTGGTTTAGTCCTGGTTTAGAACTGGTTTAGTCTTGGTTTAGTCCTGGTTTAGTCCTGGTTTAGTGTTAGTTTAGTCTCAGGTAGACCTGGTTTAGACCTGGTTTTGCCCTGATTTAATTTCAGTTTACACTTGGCTTCGACCTGGTTTAGATGTAATCTACAACTGGTTTAGTCCTGGGTTTACTCCTGGATTAGTTCTGGGTTTAGTCCTGGTTTAGACCTGTTGGGACCTGGTTTAGATCTGGTTTAGACCTGGTTTAGACCTGTTGGGACCTGGTTTAGATCTGGTTTAGACCTGGTTTCAATCTGGTTTATTCCTGATTTCATCTCAGTTTACATCTGGTTTAGTCCTGGTTTACTTCTGGAATAGTTCTGGGTTTAGTCCTGGATTTAGGCTTTTAACATCATTCACTGGTTCACTGTGGAAAGCACGTGTGTGTGTACGTGTGTGTGTGTACGTGTGTGTGTGTACGTGTGTGTATGTTGTTTTTGTTTTGGAGGAGGTGCCTTTCTTCGTGTGTGATTATTTTACTCACTGTTTCTTGTTTTTCTCTGAAGGTAAACGAAAAGCCCTGAAGCTGAACTTTGCGAATCCTTCCATCAAACCCACGACTCGCTTCACACTGAACACAGCGGGACCGCCCTTCCAGAACCCACACATGTGAGCAGCTCCCCTTTAAGACCTCTGCACCATACTGACCACAGTCACACAGGCCACATCACACAGACCAGATCACACAGACCAGATCACACAGGTCAAATCACACAGGCCAGATCACACAGGCCAGATCACATAGGCCGAATCACACAGGCCGAATCACACAGACCAGATCACACAGGCCAAATCACACAGGTCAGATCACACAGGTCAGATCACTCAGACCGAATCACACAGACCGAATCACACAGGCCACATCACACAGACCAGATCACACAGGCCAAAACACACAGACCAGATTACACAGGTCAGATCACACAGGCCGGATCACACAGGCCGGATCACACAGGCCGAATCGTACATGCCGGATCACACAGGCCGGATCACACAGGCCGGATCACGCGGATCACACAGGCCGGATCACACGGGCCGGATCACACAGGCCGGACCACACAGGCCGGACCACACAGGCCGGACCACACAGGCCGGACCACACAGGCCGGACCACACAGGCCGGACCACACAGGCCGGATCACACAGGCCGGACCACACAGGCCGGATCACACAGACCGGATCACGCGGATCACACAGGCCGGACCACACAGGCCGGACCACACAGGCCGGATCACGCGGATCACACAGGCCGGACCACACAGGCCGGACCACACAGGCCGGATCACACAGACCGGATCACACAGACCGGATCACACAGACCGGATCACACAGACCGGATCACACAGGCCGGATCACACAGGCCGGATCACACCCCCTTCAGAGCGCTATCACAACACAATCAGCGCGCATCCCGCTGATGAAACTACTATTGCAATTCACACCAACTTGACAGGTTTGTGAAGTTGTAGTGAATTGTTTTGTGTCATATGTTTGTATATTTATAGGTAATTGTTGTGTGGGAGCAAGGGGGGTGCAGGCTTGTGGGCAGAGCCTTGTACAGAATCCTACAGCTAACCATGAGGGAGGTTTTGAATAGAGCCCAGGAGAGATCGCTATATTACTGAAACATGTTATAACATAGTATAAAGCGTTGCATAATGCCCTTCCTTTCATTTCTGCAGTCCAAGAAATAAAGTTGATTTGAGATGTTGAGTGTGTGCTCATTCTTCCCTGTTCTGTGTGGGCCCAGTGAGCGTCTGAGGAGCCACAGTATGGAGTCGTGGGGGAAACTGAAGCTGTCTCCAGACCAGCACTGGGACTTCACCGCAGACGACCTGAAGGACCTGGGAGAGATCGGGAGAGGAGCGTACGGCTCTGTCAACAAGATGGTGCACAAACACAGCAGCCACATCATGGCCGTCAAGGTGACCAACGTACACTGTGTATATTAGGGCTGGTATCATTAAGAAGTTGCCGATACGATACATACCTCGATACAGTGCACTTTCAATTCGATATGATATATTTCAAATTGATTCGATACGGTTCAATAAAAAATAAAGGCTAAATCGTGGCTGTGATACTAAAAGTCTTTGTTAAACCACTTCTTGTGCAAAGTTCAAATGAAACAAACATTTTAATCATCAAAACAAAATGAAAGTGAAAATGTCAGATGTGTTGCATAAATGAGTTTCCTTTCACTCCACAAGCAACAAAACTGTAGCTCTGTAATAAAATAAGTTAGTAAAACACACCTAAAAATACTCTTGGTGATATATCGATACAGTAGCCCACGATATCAATACTGTATCATCACATTTAACAATACGATATATCGATATTCCGATATTTTTGTACACCCCTAGTGTATATACACTGTACACAGTCTGTGGTGAGGACAGAGGTCTGGGGTTCAAGGCCCAAACTGTGAAGGGTTCATGTGTTCATGTGAATATTGTAGAATCTCTGTATATGTATGTATGTAGCTGGAGATGGATCAGAACTCTGTGGGGAATTTTCTGTGTAACTGTCAGATTGGTTGACCTGGTTTATGGTTCATATTTTAAATATAGGCACACATGTCAGTGCCTTTTCTGTCAGTATAAATAAACCAAAGTTGCATTATTTCACTATCCATAGTTTTCAGAATGATGAAAGAATATCCAGATGTCATACCAATTAACAGTAAAAAAAAAAACTGAATGTTAAATTCCTCAAAATGTCGCCTCTAACAAGAAGCTGAAACTCCTGAATAGCTTCAGAGAGTGGAGCCATTCTTTACCAACTGTTTCCAAAGTGCTGCACAAGTACATAAAAATAACAACAATAAGATGATAAAAAAAATAAACTACTAAAATAATACTACTTAAAATAATAAAACCAGTAAAATAAAATAAAACCAGTAAAATAAAAATAAAAACAAAATCATAGAATAGAAATAAATAAACCAATAAATAAATTAAATCAGTAAAACCAATAAAAACACATAAAAATAAATAAAAGACACAGAGGACCACACAACTCACACGGTGTTAAAAGCCAGTGCAAAGATGCAAGGATTGGGGTTATGTGCTCTCTTCTTTTTGTTCCTGTTAAAAGTTTTGGACTAACTGTAGTCGGTCTCCTCTGCAGATAAAAGGAAATGAAGAAAACTTGGTGTACCCTTAAGCCTGACGCTGAGGGACCTTCTGTGTCTGACTCCGGCCTCTTTGTCTAAACTGTATTTTCCCTCTATTTAAATATCTGTCTCTCTCTGTGTGTTTTTAGAGGATTCGGTCGACGGTGGACGAGCGCGAGCAGAAGCAGCTGCTCATGGACCTGGACGTGGTGATGAGGAGCAGCGACTGCCCCTACATCGTGCAGTTCTACGGCGCCCTCTTCAGGGAGGTCAGTCAAACACTTCTGGCGCTTTTTCAAGTGATGCTACAGCTGCCCTGAGGCGGACTGAAGGAAGAGAGGCTGTCAATCTGCACCGTCACCATCACGCACATGTCACATACACAATCATACTAGACAAGGTGCCTGAAGTGTCTTGCCTAAGAACACAAAAACAGTTTTCACTAGAGCCACTGGAGATGAGGTTTTGATAAGGAGGTGGTGGTGGTGTTAGTGACAGAGGCCTCAGTCAGTCACAACACAAACCTGCTCCAAAATGAAGCCGAAAATACTGCCATCTGCTGGAGGCTTGATGTATTACACAGTTATGAAGTTTATTTGAAGGTTTCTGTGAGTGAGTGTGGATGAACTTTTGTTGATTATGACAAGAACATGTTTTTATGTTTACATACACACAGTATTTTTTTAATGTCTCCTTTACACTTCCTTGTTTCTGAAGCGGGGTTAATTTCGAGGTTTCATTTGCCACACCCACTCACCCACCTCTGACTTTGGTCTCTTTAATTCTTCCTTTCCTTTACCACTGTCCTCTCTTCCTCAGGGCGACTGCTGGATCTGTATGGAACTCATGGCTACCTCATTAGACAAATTCTACAAGTTTGTGTACTGTTCTTTAGACGAAGTCATCCCAGAGGAGATCCTGGGGAAAATCACGCTAGCGGTGAGTTTTTAAGCATCAAATCCTGATTAAATTATAGTCAAAAACATGACATTGTAATGCAAATGTGCTGCTTTGTAAATCAAGAGTATTGTGTATTTCATATTTTTAAAGGTGCAACTCCTTGACCTGCAGTGTTTTACCTCCCAGTTAATTTTATTGTGTACAAAGACACAAGACATAAAAATCAACATTTTCTTAAGATTATCTTGCTTTTTTTTTTCTTTTTTTTTTTTGAGTCTTACAAAGTTTATGATGTGTGCGTCTCTTTAAACCTCTCTTGTTCTTTTTGTGACAGACTGTGAAAGCACTGAACCACTTAAAAGAAAGTCTGAAGATCATTCACAGAGGTGAGACCACAGCCATGTTTCATATCATATTTTCATTATTCATTACTTGAAAAAATACTTTTTAGCATGAGCTAGTTGTGACCTGGTTTAGTCCATGTTTAGTCCATTTTTGGCCCTGGTTTAGCCCTGCTTTAGTCCTGTTTTAATTCTGCTTTAGTCCTGGTCTTGCCCTGTTTTAGTCCTGGTTCAGGCCTGGTTTTAGTCCTGCTTTAGTCCTGGTTCAGTTGTGATTAAGTCCTGTCTTAGTCCTGTCTTAGTCCTGCTTTAGTCCTGCTTTAGTACTGCTTTAGTCCTGGTTTAGTCCTGGTTTAGTCCTGGTTTAGTCCTGGTTCAGTCCTGGTTCAAGCCTGCTTTAGTCCTGCTTTAGTCCTGCTTTAGTCCTGCTTTAGTCCTGGTTTAGTCCTGCTTTAGTCCTGCTTTAGTCCTGCTTTAGTCCTGCTTTAGTCCTGCTTTTGTTCAGGCCTGCTTTAGTCCTTCTTTAGTCCTGCTTTAGTCCTGCTTTAGTCCTTCTTTAGGCCTTCTTTAGGCCTGGTTCAGTCCTGCTTTAGTCCTGCTTTAGTCCTTCTTTAGTCCTTCTTTAGTCCTGCTTTAGTCCTGCTTTAGTCCTGCTTTGGTTCAGGCCTGCTTTAGTCCTGCTTTAGTCCTGCTTTAGTCCTGCTTTAGTCCTGCTTTAGTCCTGCTTTAGTCCTGGTTTAGTCCTTCTTTAGTCCTGCTTTAGTCCTGCTTTAGTCCTGCTTTAGTCCTGCTTTAGTCCTGCTTTAGTCCTGCTTTAGTCCTTTAGTCCTGCTTTAGCTCATGTTGTGTCCTTGTCCTCAGACATTAAACCTTCAAACATCCTCCTGGATCGTAAAGGGAACATTAAACTGTGTGACTTTGGCATCAGTGGGCAGCTCGTGGACTCCATCGCCAAAACCAGAGACGCCGGCTGCAGGCCCTACATGGCCGTGAGTACAGATACGGGACAGGAAGTGTCTCATGGGAAAGGTGCACTGTGCAACTTTTCTGGTAGAGGGTCTGTCACCTGCCTGTTTCTGTGGAGATGTCATTACTTTGTCTAGAATGTTCCACAGTGTGACATTAAACAGTTCTACTTTACATTTATTCAATTACAGGTTATTTTATAGCTCAAAAATACCTAGAAAAACAGACATTGTGACTGTGAGCGGGGTCATCTCTCCACAGATCTGACCTGTCACTTGGTCTGGTTTGGTCTCCATAGAGATAGAAAGGTTTAATGCCATACTGTGAAACATTTCAGATAAAACAATAACATCTCAGCATTTGATGGACCCTCCACCAAAAAAGATAAACAACTCACATTTAAAACTGTTACTTTGTAGTACAGAGTTTCTTAGTGCAGTGTTTGCATCTGTGTATTTACATTTTAGGGCTGTCAAATCTAATTTAAATATCTGGGTTTCACGTGACGTCACAGGGCTACGTTTGTCAGCTCGCAAAATCAGATGGAGGGCAGGAAGTGAAGTGACTGGAGGAAAATGCCGATGTGTTGTGTAGTTTACGGCTGTGCCAATCGTTCTAACTGAGAGAAGGAAAAGCAATTTTTTTAGAGTACTGAATATAGTCGTCCACAAAAGTCAGAAATGGGAAAAGCCGACAGAACAACGCCGTAAAAAGTGGATTACAAACCTGTTTGCGGTCGGGAGGAGCAGAATTCGCTAATGCTCGTGTCTGCAGTGAACACTTTGTTAAAGGTTTGTTACAAAGCTAAATTGTTTTTTGTGGTTTATCTAAACATAAACAAATCATTAACGACTAACGGCGAACGACGTTTGTTGACATTAAATAGTTCAGATAGAGGTTACTGCCGATACACTGCAGTTTTTCCCATAACGTCTATACACATAAAATAAGAGAAACACTCACCCCGGCGAAGACCAAACCATAATCATCATTTAGGCGTTTTGCACCAAGGTTGAGGACCCATCCACTGACACAAAAAGTTCTATGCCTCCAAACTTTTGTACACCTTCATCTGTTGTCTGGTGTAGAACGATGTCTGAAGAGCTAAATAGTTCGTGATCTCCTCTGCCTCGACTGTCGGCAAATCTTTTACTTCGGTTGAAAATTCTCTAATTTTCAATAAGATCAGGGTCACGCCCAATATATTTGTCGACTAACTGCTCGTACTTTTGCCTCACTACTGGCTCTAAATCCTGACAATAAGAACTCTTCTCCATATCTGTGTTCTCCAGAGCCGTGTTTGTCGTGTTTGTCTTCACTTCCTGCCCTCCACCTGAAATTCGCGCATCATTGTGATCACGTGACTGAAACCCTCCTATTAGTGATTATCTGGAAAACTATACAACAACTTCATATTTGACTATACAAATACATAGAATTATAAATAGATTAATATTTTTTCTGAGATTTTGAGACACTCCCGTTGCTCGAGCTCCGTCCTTCGCGGAGTTATGACTAAAAACGCTTATTTGACCTTGGTGACCTTGACCGGTTCCAACCTGTAACATCCAGTGTACCCCGGTTATGTGTGTGCCAACTTGTGTGATGATTGGGTGAATATTTTAGGCCGCAGATGGTTCAGAAATTGCCAAAATTGCCTATTCTTTATAATGGCGTGACCATTCAATTGACCCTTGTGACCTCAAATGACCTCGGATCGTCACCAAACTTTTTTTGAGGCATCGGGCACGGGGACTTGACCCACGTACCAAATTTGGTGACAATCGGTCCATAAATGGTGGAATTATCGCGGGGTGACACACACACACACACACAGACACTGAATACAAAACCTGGTCAACCCTTCAGGGACCAGGGAATAATGAAGCTTATCTATTGGCTGCTGTGATTAAAACTCCACTGAGAGTCCCTCCTCTTCTTGAACCATACAATCCATTTCCAGACTGATTATGGTAGAACTCAGATCAGAAGGTGAACCCCGGGTTAAGTTTATCACTGCTGCTGCACGTTTGATGTTTGATGTTTTCTTTTCCAGCCCGAGCGGATAGACCCCAGTGCTTCCAGACACGGATACGACGTGCGCTCGGATGTCTGGAGTCTGGGGATCACACTGGTCAGAACTCATCTTACCTTTACATATTTGTATTTTTCATAATAAATGTTCAAATCCTTCTCTCTCGTCCTGTGTAGTATGAGCTGGCCACCGGGCGCTTCCCGTACCCCAAATGGAACAGTGTGTTTGATCAGCTGACTCAGGTCGTCAGGGGCGACCCTCCGCAGCTCAGCAACTCAGACGAGAGGCGCTTCTCCCCAAAGTTCATCTCCTTCGTCAACGTGTGGTGAGAAATATACTCTGTTCCTTTAGCCTACGCAGAGGATTAGGCTTCATGTAAGAGCACATCACATTTTCTATGGACCTGTAGTGATGAGACGGTGCAGGAGCTACTCTTCCTGTTTAAAGAAACACCATGTGACTTTTCTCAGGCAGAGTTCATTTTTCATTATTGCTTTGTGTGTAATGTTCCACAGTATTGTATTAAACTTGACTTTACTGCTATTGTACATTAATCTTAACTGATACTGACATTTTGTTTTGTTTCCTCTATGAAACATGAATACAAATGCATTAGTGTGATGTGCTGGGGCCCTCTGCTGGACAAACCTTGGGACTGCATCAGTCTGACGTTCCTGTTTTTTTTTCTTTTCAGCCTTACGAAGGACGAGTCCAAACGGCCAAAGTACAAGGAGCTGCTGGTGAGTGCAGTTGTCACAGAGATTCAACTAATCTAGACCGGGGCTAGACCGGGGCTAGACCGGGGCTAGACCGGGGCTAGACCGGGGCTAGACCGGGGCTAGACCGGGGCTAGACCGGCCTGAAGCGATACAATGGTAATATTATAATACCTTACATAGAGTCAGAGTTTTCCAAAACACTGCACTGTGTCTCTGTTCATTCACTCCACACGCCCTGTGGCAGACCACATTCATACTAGGCAAGGTGGGTGAAGTGTCTTGCCTAAGGACAGAACAATAGAACTAACTCCAAGTGGGAATCAATTCTCTGACCTTCAGGTTGGGGAACTACTGCTGTAACCACTGAGCCACTGGCTAAACCTGGGCTAAACCTGGGCTAAACCTGGACTAAACCTGGACTAAACCTGGGCTAAACCTGGGCTAAACCTGGACTAAACCTGAACTAAACCTGGACTAAACCTGACCTAAACCTGGACTAAACCTGGACTAAACCTGGGCTAAACCTGGGCTAAACCTGGGCTAAACCTGGGCTAAACCTGGACTAAACCTGGACTAAACCTGGACTAAACCAGGACTAAACTTGGGCTAAACCAGGACTAAACCAGGACTAAACCAGGACTAAACCAGGGCTAAACCAGGGCTAAACCTGGGCTAAACCTGGGCTAAACCTGGACTAAACCTGGGCTAAACTGGCTAAACCTGGGCTAAACCTGGGCTAAACCTGGGCTAAACCTGGACTAAACCTGGGCTAAACCTGGACTAAACCTGGACTAAACCTGGACTAAACCTGGGCTAAACCTGGACTAAACTCGGGCTAAACCTGGACTAAACCTGGACTAAACCTGGACTAAACCTGGACTAAACCTGGACTAAACCTGGACTAAACTGGGCTAAACTGGGCTAAACCTGGGCTAAACCTGGACTAAACCTGGCTAAACCTGGACTAAACCTGGACTAAACCTGGACTAAACCTTGGACTAAACTTGGGCTAAACCTGGACTTGTCAGAATGATTGCTTTACAAAGTAGGACTAAACGTGGACTGTTTCCACTCAGACCTGTTCTAGATTTCTAGATCCTTCTACAGTTCCTCTTTGAGCACCGTCACTCTTCATGTTCTGTTTGTATTTCCAGCGGGACCCGTTCATTCAGATGTACGAGGAGCGCAGCGTGGACGTGGCCGGATACTTCTGTAGGATCCTAGACCAGATGCCCTCCTCCCCCTCCTCCCCCGTTTACATGGACTGAACCAACCCTCACCCTGTGCCCACCTGTGCCCACCTGTGCCCACCTGTGCCCACCTGTGTAACATAACCCATCTCCCACTGCAGACACAAACATGACAGGTTTAAAAGGACTCGAGCTCATGATATTAAACTGGTTTGAGCAGTTCTGACAAATGCACGTTTATTGGTTTGTAGGTCAACATTTTTGCTTTAAAGCTGCACTGTGTAACTTTTCTGAAGGCTCCACCACATGTCTCCATGGAGATGTTAAGAGTTACCTGTCGTTTTCTGCCAGTTTGGAAGCACAGGTTTCAAAGGTGATTGCCCAATGAGGGATTACATCAGCATGTTCCGCAGTATGGCTTTATTTAGTTTAGTTTTATTTATTTTCATTTGGTAAAAAAAATAGATTAAACCACTTTATAGAATGTTTTAGAATGTGAAGCTGATGGTTACCAAACCTCACGAGTTTGTAACTGTTGAAAGAACACGCATTCTTATTATGAGAGGGGTCACTTCTCCACAGATCTGACCTGTAACTACTAGGGATGCAACGATAGTTTACCCACAATTCGATACATATCTCGATACGTGGGTCAAAATATTGATTCATTTTGATTCGTTTTAAAACGTAAAACAAAAAAATCTCATGTAATTGTTTCCTATGTGAAGTGTTTTAGTTGATTTGGTTCAATTTACAGCTCAGCATTTTTATTCACTAAAAATAAGAGTTTCTCAGGCTGTTTTGTATTTTATAATATACCACTCTACTCTTAGTTTAACTTCCCTCCAGTCTATATTATCAAGACTTTTTCTTTTCCTCATGAGTATGTCTCTCGTCTCGTGTGTCGGTGCTGCTCTGCCTCGTCTCCAGCAGCAGCAGCAGAGACAGACAGCAGCTCCTCCCACACTCACCTGCTCTTTTTACACTCCCTTTGCTCTCCCGTTGTTTTTCTGAACACTCAAACTGTGTTATATTAATTAGAAATGTCTTAACAGACCACTTTCTGAGGAAAACCTATGAGATGGAGTCTGAGAAAAAGATCATGTATATCACAAGTCGCGTCGCTGGTGTGTATAAGAGAGCATTTTGTTAAGTTGATGTAAAGCCAAAAGAGATTCTGTTACAACCCAGCTCTGCTAGGGTCAGGGAAATAACAAAAATAAAACCAAGATGTAAAATGGAATAAATTAAATAATGTTTAATTAACAGGAATGTAAAGATGAATTAACAAAACAGACTAAAATATACAGAAAATAACCTAAACTAAGAAACAGAAACAACAGACGAGTTTTGTGCCACAAAACGGGTCACGCAGGCTTACATAAAATGAGTGGTAAAATTAAGGGACACACACGAAACCAAAACATAAGTTCCCCAAATGGAACCACATAAGCTCACAAACAGAATTGAGTGACCAAATCAAAAGAAGGCACAAAACAGAACTAAACTAGACACACAAACACAACCCCAAAACTGCATACTGGCCACCACACCAGCTGCAGGTAATCTTCTTAAATAGGGGGCGGTGGCTGCAGGTGAGGTGGGCGTAGACCTGCCCCACCAATCACGAGCCAAGGCTCCCGCATCAGGAATCGAGGGGTTCCACCAAAATAATTTAAAGCACACGAAATAAATTACAAATTAAGGCCTGGGGCCATAACAGATTCTAAGGTATTTAAAAGTGAATATCTTTGTCATTCTTGGGTCTAGCAGTGCTAAATAAAAAGAGAGTGAAAGATAAAACCCTCCTCTGTTAGAATATTTCAGCTGTAAGTCCCTGTGGAGCCGTTTCCTGCTGCACCTGAGCAGGACACTGCAATAACTGTTTTCCTTTGGGACCAAAATAAAGGACAACACGTGCATGTCGACTGAACACGTGGATCACCAGTATCGAACGATTTGATGTTATATTGAATAGCATTGCATCCCTAGTACCTACCTGCATAGAGACATGTAGGTGGCAAACAAGTAATGCCATAAAGTGCAACATTCCATGCAAACAACCCAAGACGAATAATTCAGAATATGTTTTTTTTTTTACTTGGATTTATTCACTGGATTTAGGTCACATAGTCTGGACATAACCAAAAGAATATTTCAGAGCTGCTCAAAACTGTTTTCTGAATTCAAGTCCTGCAGATTTTTATATTTGCGATGTTAAGACTCACAGAGAGACGGTCAAAAAGAGGAGTCAGAACAAATCCTGATACTATGCGTCGAAGGTGCACTATGGAACATTCTGCAAGAAGGTGGAAGAAACTGTTGTCTCCATTAGCAACGTACAGAGACGGTCATCTGCACAGAAAGACCTCCACATTTCACTCTGCCCTGGGGACTAAGTGAACAAAATAATGCATGAAATTAAAAAGTTATTGTTATGTAATCAACAAAAGCTCCTCCAAAGATCTTAAAGGTGCACTGTGGAGCTTTTCTGGTTGGACGGACCGCCACTTGTTGGTTTCCATGGTAGCGCTTTGACTGCTTTTGAATGTTCCGCAGTATATAACACAACAGAATGGCATTGAACTTCACTTATCTCCATGGAGATAAGCAGGTGACACCAACAGGCCGAGGTACAGGTCAGATCTGCGGAGAGGCAACCCAGCGAGCGGTGTTTTTAATCTTTTTTTTTTGTATCTTATCGCCATGGAGACATCAGGGGACACCACTAGGTCAAGTTACAGGTAAGATCTGCGGAGAGCCGAGCCCACTCTCAGTAGGTGCACACGCTTTTCACGCCATTTTTGTGCAGAAAAAAATTGCAACTGAATAAATGCAAGGTGGATATGTTTAATGCCATACTGTGAAACATTCCTGGCAAAGCTGTAACATCTCCATGGAGACGATTACTCGAAAGGTTACATTGTCCAGCTTTAAAACTAGAATCTTTGACATCTTCTTGTGAGTTCACTCCCTTTGACCATCTAAACCACATTCACTGAACAGCTCCTGACCACGCCCGGTGACGGTTATTATAAAAAGTGTATTTATTGAACCAAAATCCTGAATATTTGATCTTGAGGTGTTAAATGCCTGATGCTCGTATATGTGAATGAAACGTTACTCTGTCTGAGCTCTGTATCTCGGCTCAATAAAGAGGGACACAAAACTACAACGTCTGTCTCAGGTTTTTGTCGGGAATTTAATTATCGTCTCCTAAAGGGACAGTTCAGAATTTTGGAGCCTCATTTCCTAGTGAGCCAGAATACTGCAGATGTGTGGAGACACTTTTTTAAATATTCCATCCAGTCCTTGTATTTGCAGAGGTCGTTGGTGCTAGACAGTGTTGGGAAGGTTTCTTTTAAAATGTATTCCCCTACAGATTACAGATTACACTCACCAAAATGTAGTTTGTAACATAATCCATTAAATTACTTAAAGTGAGTAATGTAATCTGAATACTTTGGATTACTTGATATTGACATGCTTTTTAAAACTACATGAATGTACCAACCACATCCTGAAAATTCTTGTTTGTTCTCTTCAAATTGTCTGTTGAGCCCAAGTCTCCATGAATAAACAACTGTTTTGCTGTAGAGAAACAAAGACCAGAATCTGTTAACATGTGATGTTTTGTCTGTTAAAAGAAAATAAAAAGCCCAGTCTTTACTTACTACTATATTATTGATAGAGAAATGATTTTTATATGAGGTCACTGCTGCTTTAAATTATGTCCACACTACTGTTAGTGTCATATTGTTTAATCCTGGTTTAGTCCTGCTTTTAGACCTGGTTTAGTCCTGGTTTAGTCCTGGTTTAGCCCAAAATGTGAAAACAGGAAAATACCACCCTATAATCCATTTATTTCAACAAAGTAACTGTAATCCAATTACCACTCACTGAAACAGTAACTGTAACTAAATACAGTTACTCATAAATTGTACTCTGATTACATAATCCCGGTACATGTAATCTGTTACTCCCCAACACTGGTGTTAGACCAGTGCATGTCAATGGTCAGAGTTCTCCTGCCACTAAAAACAGTCTTACCCACTCCACAAAACACCCGAAACAAATCTATTATTACACCAGACTGTCCATGTAAATGTTTGTGTCAATAGAATAATTTTAGAAGTAAAAGTAAACTTGCTTTTGAAGGATTTCTGTCTGAGCAGCAGTGGCGAGTTGTACTTTGGCCAAAGTGTGGAGCAAGTGGAGACCTTCAAATTCCTCGGGGTTCACATCTCTGTGGATCTCTCCTGGTCAGTCAACACCTCAGCACTGGTCAAAACGGCCCAGCAGCGGCTACACTTCCTGAGGTGCTCAGGAAGGAGCAACTGAACACAAGCTGCTGGTGACCTTCTGTTGTTCCACCTCCGAGAGCTGCTGACCTCTGCAGTGACAGTGTGGTACACTAGCTGCACAGAGGCTGACAGGAAGTGTCTGCAGAGGGTCACCAACACTGCACAGGACATGATTGGCTGCCCTCTGCCTTCCTTAACCACGTTATCCAACTCCCGCTGTCTCAGCAGAGCGAGGAAAATAATTAAAGACAATACACACCCTGGATTCCACCTGATCAAACTGTTGCCTTCTGGCAGGCGCTTCAGGTCAATACCAGCGAGGACCAACAGACTCAGGGACAGCTTCTTCCCCAAAGCTGTCACCATACTGAATGGGAACTGTTGATTTGTTTTATTTGTTAATTGTTGATTGTTGCACTTTAACAGAGCAGCTCTGAATTTCATTATACTATTGTATAATGACAATAAAGGCTTTCTATTCTATTCTACTTCCTGATAGAAAGCTCGGCAGCGGCGGACTGATATCACCTAGCACCTACTTTACCGGCTCTGTAATAGTCTGTTTACCTGCAGTTGCCATAGCGACACATAGAGCACAGGAAGAAGCCTGTTCCAGATATGGCCACGTTCACATCATCACAACTAACCAGAGCAGAGTAATATCACGCTGCTGCTGAGAAAATAGTCCCTCAACGTGCGATGATTCATGTGATACAAAGTTAATTTTACCAACACAAACATTTACATGGACAGTCTGGTGTAGTGTTGACAGTCTGTGGTGGTGTTTTTAGTGGCATCATAACTATGGCCATTGACATGCACTAGTCTAGCACCAGTGACCTCTGCAAATACAAGGACTGGGTGGAATATTTCAAAAAGTGTCTCCACACGTGTCCAACACTCTGGCTCACTAGGAAATGAGGCACTATGTGTACATTTCAAACTGTCCCTTTAATTTAGTTTTAAGTGTTTGTATATATTGTTTGTTTTCATCAGATGTGATAAAGTAGCCAATATATGTATATGAGTGGAAATATAAAGTCATGGTCCGAGAAATTACTCAAGTAACTGTCAGGACGCAATATCTGATTTATAATTGAAAGGAACTATTAAACTGTTAAATAAAGTACACAATGTGGTGTTTTCAAATAAAATAAGACAAACTAAATCAGATGTGAAGGAGCGCTACAGGAAACACAAATGTTCAGATCATTTCACATTGTCATATAAAACTTGCATCACTTTAGACTCACAGTGGGAAGAGGAAGCACAACTTTTACTCAAGTAACGGTACTGCTACTTCAATACAAATATTAAAGAAGTAAGTAAAAGAATGCTGCATGAAAATGACTATGAAGAAGTATTTAAGCTGTATTTTTAAGCTAGAGTAATTTGACTTAAGTATAATTTTGATCAACTCCCCCCCCCCCAAAAACCAGGTCTAAACCAGATCTAAACCAGGTCTATATCAGGACTAAACCAGGTCTATATCAGGACTAAACCAGGTCTAAATTAGAACTAAACCAGGTCTAAAACAGGACTAAACCATGCTGTGCAGACCGTGTCTCCTCGTCTTCTATCAATAATATTTTTTATATGGTCAAGTAAAGACTCAGCCTTTTCTTGTCTTTTAGCAGATAAAACTTCTTATGTTACGATATCCTCATCTTTGCTTCTCTACAGTAAATCAAGTAATCCAAAGTACTCAGATTATGTTACTCACTTTAAGTAATTTAATGGATTCCGTTACAAACTACATTCTGGAGTATGTAATCTGTAATCTGTAGGGGAATACATTTTAAAAGTCACCTTCCCAACACTGTTTATAATGAAGATTTGGATAAAATAAGAAGTGTTGACAGCTAGGTCCTATCCCCGCTCTGATTGGCTCATCGTAGACACAACATCCAATCAGCGTTGAGAAATTACAACGTCATCATTTAATGCCGGAAGAGCGCTCCATGTGACAAAACAACCTCGAAACCCACCGCAGGCTCCAAATCCAGCTGTAAATGTGCCTTTTATGACCCGAAATGGTTTAAATTCGTGCTTTAGCGTGACATTATCGTACACCGAGCGTCGTGTGTAGTATGAACCCGGCTTACAGCACGTTTAAGTCCGTTACTTTACTGTTTTCCAAAGGTAGATCCCGTTTCCCTGCGGCTCCTGCGGCTCTTCCCTCACGCGTTTTCCAGCTGATCCGCAAAATGGCGACTCAGAACGGCTCTAATGTGAACCAAAACAGCGGTAACATGGAGGGGAGACAGCAGAAGAAGGCGAAGCTGAAGGAGCCGCTGCGGAGAACCAAGACGAAGGAGAACCGTCAGAAGCGCGGGGACGTGCACGGGCCCGCCACCGTGTACGTGCAGGTGGTGGGCGCCGGGAGCAGGGACAACCCCGCCTCCCTCTACGTCTTCTCCGAGTTCAACAGGTGAGGACGGGTTTAAAGTCTAATGTTACATGAAGGTGTAAAGTAAAGGGAAGAGGAGGAAGAGGAGAAGGTCTGTGGAAGAGAGGAGGAAGAAGAAGAGAGAGTTAGAGGATTAAGAAAAGAGGGGCAGAGGATGAAGAGGTGGGAGTCAGGATGAAGAGGAGAAGGTCAGAGGATGAAGAGGAGAGCGTCTGGAGTAGAAGAGGAGAGAGTCAGGATGAAGAGGAGAAGGTCAGAGGATGAAGAGGAGAGCGTCTGGAGTAGAAGAGGAGAGAGTCAGGATGAAGAGGAGAAGGTCAGAGGATGAAGAGGAGAGCGTCAGGATGGAGAGGAGAGCGTCAGAGGAGGAGAGGATGAAGAAAAGTGGAGCAGAGGATAAAGAGGAGAGCGTCTGGAGTAGAAGAGGAGAGAGTCAGGATGGAGAGGAGAGAGTCAGGATGAAGAGGAGAGAGTCAGGATGAAGAGGAGAGAGTCAGGATGAAGAGGAGAGAGTCAGGATGAAGAGGAGAAGGTCAGAGGATGAAGAGGAGAGCGTCAGAGGATGAAGAGGAGAGCGTCAGAGGAGGAGAGGATGAAGAAAAGTGGAGCAGAGGATAAAGAGGAGAGCGTCTGGAGTGGAGGAGGAGAAGGAGAGGGTCTGTGGAGGAGAGGATGAAGAGGAGAGAGTCAGGATGAAGAGGAGAGGGTCAGAGGAGGAGAGGATGAAGAAAAGTGGAGCAGAGGATGAAGAGGAGAGAGTCAGGATGAAGAGGAGAGCGTCTGGAGTAGTGGAGGAGAAGGAGAGGGTCTGGAGCAGAGGAGAAAGAGGAGAGGGTCAGTGGTGGAGAGGATGAAGAGGGGAGAGTCAGAGGAACAGAGGATGAAGAGGAGAGGGCCTGTGCAGCAGATGGTGAAGAGGAGTTGGTCAGAAGATGAAGAGGAGGGTGTCAGTTGTTATTAAGTCGTGTTGTATTTCTCTTATGGACGTTGTGTTTCAGATATTTGTTTAACTGTGGAGAGGGCACGCAGCGGCTCATGCAGGAGCACAAGTGAGTCTTCTCTTTTGTTTCGGCGTCTTTTTAAAAGTGTCCCCGGTGTAACGAGAGCTTCTGTTTCAGATTAAAAGCTGCGCGTCTCGATAACATTTTCCTCACTCGTCTGAGCTGGGCCAATGTGGGAGGCCTCTCAGGTGAGACACGACTGCACCAACTCACTTCAGTCTGAAAACGTCCACTAGTCTCCTGAACTCCTCGGTTAATCTTAGCTTCAAACTATGAGCATGTTTTCATCATATAAAGAAATCATGTTTGGTTCTTTATTAAAGCCACAGTATGCAGCCAGTCATTATGCAAAAAATAAAATCCAAGTTGTTGTTTTTTTTTTCTCATTTTGGGTTAGTTCACTGAAATATTTCATACACCCATCCATAATGTGAGCAGGTCTGCATCTTGACCCACACCTGACCCTTATTTGGCCTGGAAGAGGGCGTCTACCTGCTTGTAGTGATGGCGAGATGAAGCCCCATGAAGCACTGAAGCGTTCCATCTGTTTGCTCGACTCTTGAGCCGATGCTTCAAGGTGCTTCATTTGCTCCACTGAGACATCAAGTGGGCAAAAAAATTTATAACAGGCAGAGTGAAAATAGAACAATCAACATGATCATCGTGGTTCTGATGGAAAGATTTATACAGTCTATTGCTTGTTTATACAAGCTGATCATTGAGCATCTGAAATCCTAAAGATGTGTGTTTGTGTGTGACAGGGATGATCCTGACTCTGAAGGACACTGGAGTCCCGGAGTGTGTTCTGTCTGGACCTCCACAACTGGTCAGAAAATCAACTATAAACTATAAAATATACTCATTTCTAACTAATATGAAACTACTATTACTGGGTTGGGGGTTAGACTCCTGATGTGTCTGGGTGGAGTTTGCATGTTCTCCCTGTGTCTCACTGTGGCAGCTTGTCTCTCAGTTGGAGGTTGTGAGTTGTATTGCTCAGTTGTACGTGTGTTTTGATCTTGTGCATTCTATAGGAAAACTATCTGTCTGCCATAAAGTCATTCTCTGGACCCCTGAACGACATCAGGCTTTGTGAGTACAACAGATTTTTGCTGCATCTGTAAAACGATTCTCCTCCACTTCACATCTGAATGTTTATGTTTTGTTTTTGCAGCGGTGCGTCCGTATACAGAGGAGACCCACACTGATGAGACCATGACAGTGACACAGGTGCCTATATTCGGTATGTACCTCACTCTCACCACCAGGGGGCCTTATTTTTTAGAAAACTGTATGTGGAATCCTGGCTCAAAAAAGTTTCCTGTTGTTTTGGCAACATTTCATCATTCACTAGGGATGTCCCGATCACATTTTTTGCCCCCGAATCCAAGTCCGAGTCCTTTGATTTTGAGTATCTGCCGATACCGAGTCCTGATCCGATACTTCTATAACAACATTATAAAATGAACTAAGAGCAAAGAATAAGATCCAGGATGTGAGAGGATCAGATTGTGTTGATTTCATGTGAAGTTTTTGGGCTGAACTTTGAAAAATCAAATGTCCAAAACTTAAATTTTATTAACTTTTCTAACCATGCACCATCATTGTTGAAAATCTTGACTTTTCACAGTCTGGTCTTGGAATGTAAACTTAATGAACTGAACAAAACAGGAACCAGACCAGAACCAGATCAGACCTGAGACTCGACTCTGCACAATCTACACTTTGTACATTTGATATTATATGGAAGCATGTGCTTTATATTTAAAACATTTAGGCTCGTCTATGATCCAAATAATACAAGATGTTACCAAATAAAAACGAGATGACAGGAGCCCCACAGCCTCTCCCCCGACCACCCCCACTCCCCCGCACCGCCATCACATCCACAAACCCACAGACACCCACAAACAGCAGAGTACACAACGCAATAGACCCTCTACGCCGCTGAACAGACCCTCACTGCCAAAAGTGCCAGCTCCGCAGCTCAACATGCGCACGTGCGACGACGCCATCGCCCGTGCAGGTGTGAACACGGGCCACAGAACCACAGGTAACAGCGCCCGAGCACGACACGCCCACCGCGAGTGTGTCTCTAGTTCAACAGACACTGGGACAGACAGTCGCGCTGACTGGACGTCCCTGAGCAAATCCTGCACCTCAGAAAAACTGTTGTGTCCTGTGTGTTATATACGTATATAATTTTTCCGATACCTGATCGACACATAATGTTCAAGTCCGCGGTCGCGTGATCGGCGCCGATTTCTGATCATGTGATCGGTTCGGGACAACCCTGCCGTTCACCACTGTTTTAAGTTGCTAACTGCCATACCAATGGTCCTAATCATTCATTAATCATGCATTATTCTTGGATACAGCATGGGTTTGTTTCTCTACTGGAAAATGTGTTTCAGCTCGAGCGAAGAGTCCCAAAAGCACCTCACCGAACTCCAGCAGCAACCGAGCAGGTACAGCACAACACACGACACATATTAGAAGACACATATTATACAACATTGGTTCGCCCCCTCCTCTTTCTCAGTCATTTCCGTCACCTCTACGGAAGGGGAGAAACGTGTGTGTGTCTGGGTGAGCACATGCACTGAGCCCAACTTCAAAAATCATAAATTGTTCCTCTTTTTTCAGGAGATGATGGAAACTCCAAATTCAGCAGAGACCCCTCACTGGTCGTGGCCTTTATCTGTAAGGTGAGCACATGTACTATTTATTCCCTGGTCCCCGAAGGGTTGACCAGGTTTTGTATTCACCCTGTGTGTCTGTGTGTGTCTGTCCACCCATGATAATTCCACCATTTATGGACCGATTGTCACCAAATTTGGTACGTGGGTCAATCCCTCGTGCCCGATGCTGCAACAAAAAGTTTGGTGACGATCCGAGGTCAATTGAAAGGTCACACCATTATAAAGGACCAATTTCTGACCAATCTATGGGCTAAAATATTCACCCAATCATCACACAAGTTGGCACACACATAACCGGGGCACACTGGATGTTACAGGTTGAAACTGGTCAAGGTCACTTGAAGGTCAAGGTAAACAAGATCAAATATGTGTTTTTAGTCATAACTCCACGAAGGATGGAGCTCGAGCAACGGGAGTGTCTCAAAATCTCAGAAAAAATATTATCTATTCATAATTCTATGTATTTGTATCATACAATCTTAACAGTTTTCCAGATAATCGCTAATTATAACAGTTCCTTTCTCTTTCAGTGTTGCTGTTAAAATTCTAATTGGAACGAAAATAATTTCCATTTCTTGTTTTTCTGGTGACACACCACTCACTGATCTACAGTCACACAACTAACATACACACAACTCATGAAAAATGACATTTTACACACTCGTAAACACAGACTTTCTCATGTGTGACCAACATCACACAAATGTTCATGGGTCTGTACAGATACACACATTACATTGTGGATATAATGATCATGTAATATGGACTGACTCCTCATAAACTGTTTCTGTGCTGATGAACTGACCCACCGACGCCTCATGGGGACCAGGATGATGTCTCTGATTGTTCTTGTTAACTTAGAATCTGTGGATTTGATTAATTGTCAGAAGAACTACATTCATAATATTACATTTTTAACGGGTTCATTATTGTCTCTTTTTCAGCTTCATCCAAAAAAGGGGAATTTTCTGGTCTCTGAAGCCAAAGAGCTGGGCCTGCCTGTGTGAGTCCAACAGATCACTCCTACTGGAGTTATTCTTTAAGCTTACTTTATTTGGGCATTTTTTACCTTTTACACATTAAGCGTTTGACTGGTCATGTACATTATTATTGCATGTGAAGAGCCCAAAAGTGTAGGCTGAAGCAGTAACTTCTGTGAGCCTCCATATAAACGACTTGTGAATGACTTTGTGATCTTGTTTGTAGAGGTCTAAACTACAGGTGTAATATTTGTGTTTCAGAGGCACGGCAGCGATCGGGCCCCTGATCAAGGCGCTGAAGGAGGGTCGCAGTGTGGAGTTTGAGGGGAGAGAGGTAAGAATGACCCACAAACCTGAAAAGAGTTTAGAATATTTATCTTGTGGAGGACGTGAGAAAAGTCAATATATTAAAACGGACTCAGTTAATAAATCTGAAGTACAGAAGACGCATTATGGTGCTAACAATCCAAGCAGAGAGAGAGCGACTGATCTGACATTGGCATTTAAAGGCCAGTCATAATACAAATGCTTTAAACTCTGTCTCTGTCTCTGTAGATCCGTCCGGAGCAGGTGTGTACGCCCACAGACCCAGGTCCAGTGTTCCTGGTTTTGGAGTGTCCCTCAGAGGAGTTCATCCCAGCGCTGTGCTCCAACCCACGACTGCACAGGTCAGTCAGATGACCCCTGTCACATGACTCCTGTCACATGGCCCCTGTCACAATGCCCCTGTAAACACCACACCAAAAATCGGATCATAACTGATTTCTGGAGTTATCAGCTCATTCAGATGTCATATAACAGTTCCATCTGAGGTGAGTGATGTGATTTCTCATCATGTCGTCTTCATGTGTGTTTCAGACATGTGTCGGGGACAGAGGACCCGGCCGCTCTCGTGGTTCACATTTGCCCAGAGTCTGTTCTGAGCTCAGAGCGGTACCAGCACTGGATGGAGAGGTCTGTGCACACAACACTGAAAAACATGTTTACAGTTATTCTGTTAAACAGCCTTTTCTGAGCTGTTCCAATTTCAGAATGTTCATCCAAAACATACCTGAAGAGTTGTTTTGTTTGATTTCATTTCATCCTGGTCTAGAATTTAACAGCCACATCAAATCAATAACATCTGCAGCCTTTTACCATCTAAAAAACAGAGCAAAAATCAAAGGTTTACTGTCTAAATCAGACTTGGAGAAACTTATCCATGTGTTTGTCTCCAGTAGGTTAGATACTGTAATGTTCTGCTCACTGGTCTCTCCAAACGAGCTGTGAGACGCTGCAGAACATCCAGAACATCCAGAACGCTGCAGCTCGGGTCCTTACTCAAACTAGGAAGTACGAGCACATAAGTTGTGTGCTCAGGTCTCTGCACTGGCTCCTGTGGCTCAGAGACTTTAAAGCAGCTCTGCTTGTACAAGTGTCTCCATGGTCGACATGTTAGTGTCATATGAACCATCTCGCACTCTGAGGAGCTCAGGGACCGACCTCCTGCTGGTGCCCAGAGTCACGACTAAACAAGGGGAGTCAGAGTTTTAGGTTCATGCAGCTAAAACCTGGAACAGTCTGAACATGTGAGACAGACTCTTCTGTGACGCTGTTTAAATCCAGGCTCAAAACATTTCAGTTTGACTGTGCAAATAACTGAAAGGTTTTCATTCCTCACTCTTCTCTCCTATTTATGTCTCTCTTTTTTAATTTTAATCTTCATGATTATTTATGTTTTGATTTGTTTTTATTATGATTTTAATGTATTTCTTATTCTGTAAAGCACTTTGAATTACTTTGTGTACGAATTGTGCTGTACAAATAAACTTGCCTTGCCTTGCCAGAATCTTTCACAGACCAGCAATAAACTTCTCTATTTTGCATTCATTCCAAATTAACCTCCGCGGTGATGGATCATTTTAATGCCATAATGTCTCTCTGCAGTTTTCCTTCATCGACGGAGCACCTGATCCTGAATGAAAACACGTGCACAGTTCATAACGTACGAAGCCACAAGCTGCAGACTCAGCTCCACATGATCCACCCAGAGGTGTTCCCCAAACTGCAGGGGGTCACGGCCAAGGTCAGCGCACCAGAGAGAGAGAGGCAGAACATCAGTGCACTGCCCTAAAATCCCTTTAATTTAATCACTCACTCGTTTATAACCCTCTTCCTTCTGTTTGTTTCCAGGAGCCTCAGGCTGCGTTGCACATCCCAAACGTCAGAGCCGAGTGTTTGCTCAAGTATCAGCTCCGACCGAGCTCAGGCTGGAACAGGTCAGTGTCAAGTATTTATACTTGTTTAATGTAGTTTTAGTTTTTTCTCCTAAATCAGTTTATTTGCAATTTGCCAACAGGAAACAACTTACTTCGTTAGCGTTACATAATTCTCTGTTTCAGCAACTAGTGTTTATTTGCATACGTTTCGTGTTTCATAACTTTTGTGAATGTATAAACAGTCGTTGTTGCAAGTGTGTTTCTCAGGGTGCTCTCATGGATGCTCTGATTTTGGGAAGTGTTTTATTTTGTAGTGTCAGTGGATGATGTCATTAGTGACGACACTTTCCTTTTCATGCACATCTCCCTCTGTGCTGTTCAAATGTTCCCTACACACCCATGTCCACACGTCCATCCACACCCAAAATCATCTCTAACTGCTCCAATATCTACAATAATTGGTGTTCTATTGGCTCTCTCAGATACTTTGTGATGAGCACACACCAGTGTCCCACTCTATCATAGACTGTGAGTCCGGCGGGGCGGCATGTTCAGTTCTTACTTTGCAAAAAACACAATAAAGGACAAATATGATGCTGTGTTTCCTGTAGAGATGCGATTCCGGTGTGTGACGAGGAGCAGTTTGTGCGAGAGGCGTCTGAGGTCCCTCTGTTTGTGGAGGAGGTGGAGAAGAGCAGGAGGCTGTGGAAACAGCAGTCGGAGGTCACAGGTCAGACACATTACAGTTTAGTATTACAGTATAGTACAGTACACAGTAAAGGCTGGTTTACAACAGTCTGGTGACAAATCAACGCAGATGAACAGCACAGCTCCCTGGACTCGTCAGACAATCAAAGTGTTTGCTGTGTTGTGTTTGTGCACCTCAACCTAAAAGTTGCTAAGCGTCAAATTTCTATCAAACAGAAGAGCTGTGATTGGTTCATCCCCAGACTATACAGACGCCAGATTAAAAACAACTCAGAGCAGCTAAATGTCAGGATGTCCACTCAGCTGAGCGGGGCCTGACGCAGGACTATAAACCAGCCTTATTCATATAATATTAGTATAGTACAGTACAGTTACACCATATCTCAGATCATACTGTAGTACGTTTATGTGTTTCAGATGCAGCGCTGTATCCAGAGGTGGTGTTTTTAGGCACAGGTTCAGCTCTGCCCATGAAAACCAGGAACGTCAGCGGCACTTTACTCAACATCAGGTCTGAATTACACTGTTCCACGGTTTCCATGGTCTGAAAAAGTCTGACATTTCACGTGGGAAATGCAAATTAAGTGTAAATTAAATAAAGAAGGTGTGTGTTTGTGACGAAGATATTCAGTTTATTACAAAGACCTGTCGCATAAGAAGCACAGAGCAGCAGCAGTGGTGTTTCAGAGCGTGTGTTTAATTATTGGGTTATCTGATTCTAATTACCACATTTTCACTGGCCATGTAAATTTGGATATATAATGTAAATATACGAATTAGATCTAATTTCCCTGTTTTATGCTGTTCTTTTCTGACTTCCTGTTTCAGCCCATCCCAGTCCCTGCTGTTGGACTGTGGAGAGGGGACGTTTGGTCAGCTGTGCCGTCACTATGGAGACCAGGTGGACGAGGCGCTGTGTAAGATCGGCTCTGTGTTTATATCGCACATGCACGCCGACCACCACACGGTAAAAACAGGACAGAATACAGCTGAAGTCCTGATTGTGTAAGAGTCTGAGCAGAGTTTGTGTTTTAGGGGCTGCTCAAACTCCTGTACCAAAGGGAGAGAGCTCTGGTGAGGACTGCACTGTTTTCATACGCACCTTTTACCACACTATTTTATGATCCATGTTCTAATGTCGTTTCCTCATCACACGCAGACCTGGAGCTGTGTTTTGTTTCATTCACACGATTCACACACAAACCCTGCACATTTAGCCTGAGTTCTTCTCTCAAAAGACTCTGATGTCACTTGGTATCACAAGAAGTGCTCCACTGTGTTTTACATTTCCACACATCTTCACTTGAATCATTTGGATAATTTCAGCCCTAGAACTGCAAATCTCTACTGAACTAAAGGTAAAAGGAGCTGTTCACTCGAAAACTACTACTACATGACATCACCAGGTGGAATAGAACATTTCTGGGAGCTTTGGGGATACAGACAGGCTAATAATAAAGAGTTAAACGTGTGTGAATGAAACAAAACACAACTCCAGATCTGATTTTCAGGAGGGAACAAGTTTAGAACATGATTTAAAGCTCACAAGAGTCAATTTTTGCGTAAAATTTAAAGGTGCGCTAACTTTTTTGGTTGGGGGTCCATCACCTGCTTGTTTCTATGGATTATTATTGCTCTGTCTGGAATGTTCCACAGTGTGACATTCAGTGTTGGGAAGGTGACTTTTAAAATGTATTCCCCTACAGATTACAGATTACATACCTCAAAATGTAGTTTGTAACGTAATCCATTAAATTACTTAAAGTGAGTAATGTAATCTGAATACTTTGGATTACTTGATTTGCTGTAGAGAAGCAAAGACGAGGGTATTGTAACATAAGATGTTTTGTCTGTTAAAAGAAAATAAAAAGCCCAGACTTTCCTTAACCGTATTAAAAATATTATTGATAGAAGACGAGGAGACAGGTCCGCCCAGCATGGTTTAGTCCTGTTAAATCCTGTTATAGTCCTGGTTTAGTCCTGGTTTAGTCGTGGCTTTAGACCTGGTTTAGACCTGGTTGAGATCTAGTTTAGACCTGGTTTAGACCTGGTTTAGTTTCCGGCAATGAGTGGAATTACCCGGAGAAAAAAAAAAAGAAAAAAGGATAGAGCCCAAAATGTGAAAACAGGAAAATCCCGCCGTGTAATCCATTTATTTCAACAAAGTAATTGTAATCCAATTACCACGCACTGAAACAGTAACACTCATAATTTGTACTCTGATTACATAACTCCGGTACATGTAATCTGTTACTCCCCAACACTGGTGACATTAAACCTTACCCTACCTTACGTTTATTCAATTACAGGTGGTTTTAGAGGTCAAAAATACCTAGAAAAACAAACATTCTGACTGAAAATGACCTGTTACTTGGTCTGGTTTAGTCTCCATGAAATAGAAAAGTTTAGTGCCATTAGGGGTGGAACTTTCCAGACCAGTCAATAACATCTCCATGGAGAAAAGCATTAGACGGAGCCTCCACCACAGAAGTTACACAATGCACCTTTAAATTGAGACTATTCCTCCCTAAATATGATATAAATCCATGTTTCTGTTTGATGTAGTCTTCTGTGGGTAAAGAGTTCAGTCCAGTGTTTCTGATGGGGCCCGGTCAGCTCATGTCGTGGCTGAACCAGTACCACGAGGCCTGTGAGGACATCCTGAAGCATGTCAGGTCAGTGAAAGAGGCTCGGGTGGAAAAAGGTTCAAATATTACAGTTTTTTTAAGGTAAACAGTGTGTCTCTGTATTAAAAAGTGCCATGTGTGATTATGTGAAATGAACTCTGATGTTTTTGCAGCTTCATCCCAAACAGGAGCCTCTGTGCAGACGCGGACGGGACCAAACCCAGGACCCAGAACCTCATCCAGGCCCTGCTCAAGAAGAACAGTCTGGACAAGGTCTGTGCATGTTGGCAATCTTTACTCACTTATTTTACTCATCACCTCCATCGATACACGCCCACTGCTCTGTATGCACTTCAGTCTCTAAAGTTATTTTCTTAAACAATGATACATGTAGGGTTCAGCAGCATTGGACTGAGGATCGAGTAACTGCGCAGATTTTTACAGAATCAACAACCAAAGCACCAAACTCATACTTGTATATTTTATTCTGAATGTTATGAGAATTTTCTAAAGGAGATGTCACGTGATACAAATGAGCAGCTGTGGTTGGATCATCTAAAACTGGGGCATCAAACTCACTCAAACTCAACTCAAATTCACAGAGACCAAAATTAAAAACTCAGACTAAGTTGTGGGCCAAACTAAATATTTAATGAAAAATTTCAACATCTGCATGTTTTCTCTTCTTTCAAGATATGTAATGTAAAATCTTTTCTTATTAAAATGAATGTTTATAATTATAATAGTTTTGCTTAAACATTGAATCCAGAACAAGCATGATCTAAAATAACACAATTTTAAATCAATAATGTCTCCATAGTCTGTGTGTGTGCGGCAAGCAGCTCTAATACAGATTTGATATGATCTGGCAGGTCAAATATAATTACATCGTGGGCCAAATTTGGCCCCTGGGCCTGAGTTTGACATGTCTGATCTAAAATGTGGTTTTTTTCCACACACTAGGGTCTGGTCTCAGTCTGAATCTGTCTGAATTCAAACAGAATATACAAGGTACTGGCTGGTCAGGCAGTGTCATTTGGTACAAATAAAAAAAAAAAATCCGCTACTCACTAGTGCGATGAGCAGCTCTCCACAGGAGGGGCCCACAGGAGGGGCCCACAGGAGGGCCCACAGGGGCCCACAGGGGCCCACAGGAGGGGCCACAGGAGGGGCCCACAGGAGGGGCCCACAGGAGGGGCCCACAGGAGGGGCCCACAGGAGGGGCCCAGAGCTTGTGGCGCTTTGTCGTCATGACGTTTACAGTGATGCTGGCTCCCACTGGACACCACAGTTTTGTAACACAGAAGTCAGCGCACTCTTATTAAGTTTCTTTAGCTCAATATTGAAACATTTTTATTTACCTTATTTTTTTGGCATTATTTGTGCGATGATGAACCTCCAGTTAAAGTTATTTTTGCCTTTATGAGATGCTCACTCAGTCCTTGTCCTTGTCTTTGTTTGTGTTTGTTCCAGTTTGAGACGTGCCTGGTGCGTCACTGTAAAAACGCCTTCGCCTGCTCGCTCTCCCACAGATCTGGCTGGAAACTCTCCTTCTCCGGGGACACGATGCCCTGTGACGCTCTGGTCAACATTGGTCAGTAACAGTCTGAACACTCTGCTCTGTAACGTCCCCTACTGCTTAGACTAAAGTGCTAATAAATATTCCAGCTAAATCCTGTCATTTTCTGGATGTGGCACGGTACCTGCATGATTCCATGGAAATAAAAAGTTAAAACGACGATGTTTGTGTTTTCAGGACGAGACTCGACGCTGCTGATCCACGAGGCAACACTAGAGGACGCTCTGGAGGAGGAGGCTGTGGAGAAGCGACACAGGTCAGACTCGTAACTACAGCGCTGTGTCTGAATGTCCACATTAACCTCTCAACCCTCGCTCACTGTTTATCCAAGAAGTGTCCTTAATCACAGTCTCCTTCAGGTCGAGTCAGCGCTAAACCCACTGACATCAGCTCTTCTTTTCCTCCTCAGCACCACGTCTCAGGCCATCGCAGTCGGGATGAAAATGAACTCCGAGTTTATAATCCTGAATCACTTCAGCCAAAGATACGCCAAGATCCCCCTGTTCAGCCCAGACTTCACGGAGAGAGTGGGCATCTCCTTCGACCACATGAGGGTGAGGGCACAGGGGGCAGAGGGGCAGGAGGGGGCAGAGGAGCAGGAGGGGACAGAGGGGCAGGAGGGACACAGGGCTGCTAACGGATCATTCATATTATGCCATTTAACCCACTGTACTGTATAGTATAATGTTAATATGAATATAAATGTTCATATTTTGACCTGCTGTGTAGCTGTAGCTGTTGTTCTAATTCTGGCGCATTTACAGTATTTTCCGGGCTATAGAGGCTTTGCACCGTCACGTGACCCCTATAGCAACGGTACCTATGCCGCCATGACACCGGGCACACTTTGTCATTGACTTCAGCAGCATCGGAGAAACATGGGCAGGTTTTGTTGTGTATTTGGTTGTTCTAGACGCTCTGAAAAGGATAAAACGATTCGTTTCTTCACTGTTCCTCTGGAAATGACTCATCAGGATCAAACAAGGGAATTATTGAAAAAAAGACGCGGATTATAGCAGCAAAATTAAACTGCAAAGAGATTTCCAATGGTACCATCAAGACACACTGACGTCTCTTTCATCAAGGTATTTGTTATTTAAGTAGTTTCATAGTTTATTTAATGAAAGAAGCACATTTACTGAACTAAAATGTCATTAATTTATCCAGGAAAACCCGCACTAGTTTACGATTCAATGAACCCACACTGAGCTCCTGTGATCAACATGGAGCACGAGTCGAAGAGTCTGTGAGCCGAACCTCGAAAGAATCGGCCATGAAAAGATCCTCGCGAACGTTAGAAAGATCCGCTCGCAAAAAGTGATTAATTCTGGAAGACATAGTTGTGGTTAAGCAAGACAATGAAGAAAACATGGGTCCTACGACGAGTGACATGTTTATATGTGCTGGAAGATCCAGTTTCTACTGCCACTCACACTGTAAATGTTTTCTTTTTACATTTTAGTTCAGTAAATGTGCTTCTCTCATTAAATAAACTATGAAACAATTTAAATAGCAAATACCTTGATGAAAGTGACGTGAGTGTGTCTTGATGGGACCATTGGAAATCTCTTCGCGGTTTTCTCCACACGTTCCTTTAAACGGACGTCACTGCCGCTGTCCCACAAAACACCACGGCCAAAAACCTCGTCCTTCTCCTTCTCAATCTCCTCCTTAAAACAAGTAAGTTGTTCATGTTCTGGCTCCGGTACGAGAGGAACTTTAAAATCTCCAGGTGCTCAATGCTGCGTCCATGTTTGGACAACTTCTGTAAACACAGAGCACGCTCGCTGCGGTTGACGTCACCCGTGTCTCCAGTGCACATGCGGGACACTTTCAGGCCGTTTACTGTTCACACTGGAGTCACATACAAGTCATATTTAATTAGAAATGTGAACGACCTCACAAAAACATTGGATTTCACAAAAAAATCGGAATTGAGCGTTAAGCCCTGCAGTCTGAACGTAGCCTAAATGACACGACTCACTTACTCCATGAGGCTCCTGAATATGATGGCTGCAATGCTCCGACAATGCATCAATCAGTGCGGCTTTGTAACCTTCCCGAAGTCTACTATACTAACACATTTTGATAGATTTTTGAGCGACGTGTACCACATAAAACTGGATCGAGGTCAGTAAGTGCAACCAAAATGAATATATTAGGCGCACCGGATTATAAGGAGCACTGTCGATTTTTGAGAAAATTTTAAAACTGTAGCGTGTCTTATAGTCCAAAAAATACGGTAATTAGTGAAAGGGGCTGTGGTGCAGGTCGTGAAGATGCATAAGTGAACTGACAATGTTTGAATTGAAAGCTGCGAAGTTGTGGGCTTTTGCCATTTATTTGCAAGTGTCTGTGTCTAAAACACATTCATCCTTTCCTGTAATTAAGCTGAGAAAACTACACAGACCATTTCTGACATCATGTGATCATTATGTACTAATAACTGTGGCTCACTTTTGACCTTAATAATCTAAATGTTTAACGTTTGTGTCTCGTTTGTGTTTCTTCAGGTGAGTTTCAGAGACCTCAAACTCCTGCCCGTCCTCACCCCGGCTCTGAAGGCTCTGTTTGCGGAAGACCTGAGTGAGATGGAGGAGGAGAGAGAACGACGAGAGCTGAGGAACCCAAAAGTATCCGCCTCACCCCAAACGTCTGCCTCACCCCAGAGGGACGCCCTGCAGAGTCCAGCGCTGCAGACAGGGGGTGCTAAACGAGAGGCAGAGACTCTCACCACAGACAGCAAGAGGCTAAAGACCAGCTGAACACTCAACAGTTAGAAGAGATGTTTTAGTTTTATTTAAATGAATTATTATTTTTGAATGCAGTGAAGTAGTGTACAGTTAAAATTCACTTACAACATTAAAGGCGTACTGTGTAACTTTTTTTCACCTGTTTGTCTCCATGGTGATTGTGCAGTTTCGCCCGGAATGTTTCACAGTATGGCATTACACTTATTATCATTACAGTGTTTTGAATACATCCTAGGAGGAAGAACTTTGGACCACAGTTTTTAAGACAGTAAAAATCACATTCTATACAGTACAGTGGAACATTCCAGGCAAAGCAATAACATCTCCAGAGCGACAGAACCTCATTGGGGAAAGTTACAGAGTGCCCCTTTAAATGATCAAATGTACAGTTATATTGTGTTTTATGATTTGAGCAAAATGAACCTTGAGATGTGCAGTGATGAAGTCATGTTGTTAGTGGCTCATAGATTCAAATGCACTGGTTTAATAAAGTCAATTATACTTTCACCTAAACGGCTCACAGCAGATTACATAACAGATATAACACATTTTATATCATTTTTTCAAACTAAAAAAATACAAAATTACACAATGAATCAGAATTTGTATTTTCTAGAGATTGGCTGATATGGGTCATTTCATGTTCCACAATGTGGCATTATGCAAATCTGTTTTTACCATCAACAGACACCTGCACACTTACTACAACTACAACCATGAATTAAAGCCGCAAGCAGCGTCGAATGGCCCTCGCCCAGCCCACGCCACGCCCGCAATCACAGCGCATCGCAAACGGCGCACCCCTCAAACGCCGTGCCTGCAAACACCATGCCTGCAAACGCCGTGCCAGCAAACGTCGCACTCGCAAATGGAAAAATTACATAGTGCGCCTTTCAATGTTCTTTGTGCCCCCCGCTGGCCAACCATGAAAAATGCCCATGTCATTAATATATGTTTTTGCATCTAGTCATTAATGGAAATGAATTCCCAAATTTGATACAAATCTGACAATGTTGACGTTTCATGTGTACGGTAGGGGGCGCTATAGTGTTCACTTTTCATATGTTTTATAGTGTATTATATTCAGACTGAGATAATGCATTAGTGATTAGTTTTGTTTGTCTTCACATGTTGAATGTTTGTACCGAATTTCGTGGCTCTATGACAAAGTTGACCGGAAAGTCTCCCATAGGCGCAAAATTTTTGACTTTTCGAGGTGGCGCTGTGTCGCCATTTTTTTTATGCCCGTGCACGAAACCTATATTTCATCGAATTTTTCGCCACTTCTGAATATTGTGCCAAGTTTGGTGAGTTTTTCAAACTCAAAGAGCAGAGCAGCACATATAGCTCTCGTTTCATTACTGTGTCATTCACACATCTCCTGCCATGGGTAGCAGGCGTCTTGGGGGCTCATGTTGTTGCATTTCTGTCTTAGTGGATAGACTCCCTGAAAATGCTAAACCCTGGCCTAGACAAGATCTGGTCCAAACTAAATCAGGAAAGACCTACTGGTCTGGTGGTCTGACCGGGAACAATGGAAAACTATTTTCAGTCTGAGAAAAGACCTTGGGTCTGAGTGAAAAAAGGGGCGTGTCCAGGTGGGGCTGTAAGGCTACAAAGGAACAAAACATGACCCACTCAATGTGTGTCATTCTGTGGATGATCACACGTCCCACACAATAACACAGTCACAGTGGTTCAGGGAGCACATGGTTTGTTGCATCACACATAATTTGGGCAGTTTGACTGAATTGAATGCAATCAGCAAAAAAAACTGCTTTAAAGGGACACACATCACACACACACATCACACACACACACACACACACATCACACACACACATCACACACACACACACACACACACACACACACACATCACACACACACACATCACACACACACACACATCACACACACATCACACACACATCACACACATCACACACACACACACACATCACACATCACACACACACACACACACACATCACACACACATCACACACACACATCACACACATCACACACACATCACACACACATCACACACACACACACATCACACACACACACACATCACACACACATCACACACATCACACACACACACACACACATCACACACACACACACACACATCACACACACATCACACATCACACACACACACACACATCACACACACACATCACACACACATCACACACACACACACACACACACACACACATCACACACACATCACACACACATCACACACACACACATCACACACACTCACACACACACACACACACACACACACATCACACACACACACACACACACACATCACACACACACATCACACACACACACACATCACACACACACACACACACATCACACACACACACATCACACACACACACATCACACACACACACACATCACACACACACACACATCACACACACACATCACACACACACACATCACACACACATCACACACACACACACACATCACACACACATCACACACACACATCACACACACACATCACACACACACACACATCACACACACACACACATCACACACACATCACACACACACATCACACACACACACACACACATCACACACACACATCACACACACACACACACACACACATCACACACACATCACACACACACACACACACACACACACACACATCACACACACACACACACATCACACACACACATCACACACACACATCACACACACATCACACACACACATCACACACACACACACACACATCACACACACACACACACATCACACACACACATCACACACACATCACACACATCACACACACACACACACACATCACACATCACACACACACACACACATCACACACACACACATCACACACACATCACACACACACACATCACACACACATCACACACACATCACACACACATCACACACATCACACACACATCACACACACACACATCACACACACACATCACACACACACACATCACACACATCACACACATCACACACACACATCACACACACACACACACACATCACACACACACACATCACACACACACACACACACATCACACACACACACACACACATCACACACACACACACACACATCACACACACACACACACACACATCACACACACACACACATCACACACACACACACATCACACACACACACACACACACATCACACACACACACACACACATCACACACACACACACACATCACATCACACACACACAACACACACATCACACACACACACATCACACACACATCACACACACACACACACATCACACACACACACACATCACACACACACACACATCACACACACATCACACACACACACACACACACATCACACACATCACACACACACACACACATCACACACACACATCACACACACACATCACACACATCATCACACACATCACACACACACATCACACACACACACACACATCACACACACATCACACACACACACACACATCACACACACATCACACACACATCACACACACATCACACACACACACACACATCACACACACACACACACACACACATCACACACACATCACACACACACACACTCACACACACACACACACACACAATCACACACACATCACACACACACACACATCACACACACACACACACACACATCACACACACACACACACACACATCACACACATCACACACACACATCACACACACACACACACACACATCACACACACATCACACACACACACATCACACACACATCACACACACATCACACACACACACACATCACACACATCACACACATCACACATCACACACATCACACACACACACATCACACACATCACACACATCACACACACACACACATCACACACACACACATCACACACACACACACATCACACACACACACACACACACATCACACACACATCACACACACACATCACACACACACACATCACACACATCACACACATCACACACATCACACACATCACACACACACAATCACACACACATCACACATCACACACATCACACACACACATCACACACACATCACACACACACACACACACATCACACACACACACACACACACACATCACACACATCACACACACATCACACACACACATCACACACACATCACAACACATCACACACACATCACACACACACACACACACACACATCACACACACATCACACACACATCACACACATCACACACACACACACACATCACACACATCACACACACACACATCACACACACATCACACACATCACACACACACACATCACACACATCACACACACACACATCACACACACACACACACACACACACATCACACACATCACACACACATCACACACATCACACACACATCACACACACACACCCATCACACACACACACACATCACACCCTGTTAGCCACACTGAAGGCCAAGGTCGAACTGAGCGGCAAAACAATGGGCAGCATGCTGGCAGTGACATCACATGCAAATCCCCTAATTTACAACAACTGAAACTGATTATCATCATCACTTTTTTTTTTTTTTTTCTCAGTGCAAACTTGATGAATATGCTTTCTTTCTAACTTATGTGTACAATCAAAAGGTGTAGAGGGCAATGTATAGCAAACTTGTATAGCAAACCTTTCCCCACATGGATAAACACATACACTATCAATGCATTCTGAGGTATTTATCATATCATCAGGGTCAGACAACACTTGAGGAGAAGTGGCTTGTTGCAGCTGATAATGTAATAATGGCCAATAAAGGAATAGCTGCCTATAATGTAATAATTTTGATGTAATAAAGCCAAAAATGTAATAACTTGCCAGTAATGTAAGAAAATGTCTGAACCATTAACGTAATAAACTGATGCCAATAATGTAGTAACATGTTACATTAATGGTTTGTTATTAAATTATTGTTTGTCTTAAAAACTGATGCCAATAATGTAATAATTTCTTAATAGCATGTAAATGAACAGTATGTATGGAATAACTGTAACTTAATCATAAAATCACCCCGATATAACACCGACCACAGTAATCCAGCCTGAATATTCCCTTTTCCGTATATACACTGCAGCCCTTAAGAGAGTGGGAAGGAAAAAAAAAAATCTTCGAGGAGAGCGGGAGGGTTAACCGTCATGCTCTCCTCGGGGTCACATTGACCCGAAGACTTTTTTTCCTTCCCGCTCTCTTGGGGTGGGTCAATCAGACCCAAAAATTTATTTTTTCGCCTGCTGAGAATTCATTTTAAAATACATTTTTTTGTTTTAAGTTCAGATCAGATAATCGGTCAGATTTGACCCAAACACGACAGGAACGTTAAGATGTTTTTTTTTTTATTTCTGGCTTTGCACATTTTGTGTTGGAAACAAAAAGAAAACCC